TATGAAATATTTGCTGAAATTGATATTTGTTATCATTATTATTTTTTTTCTAAGAGTCCTCACCATTATTGGTTAAATTCCACCGGCTTGTCGCATTGAGCAATATGCCAGGGAGTCCCTTGTCGATAGAAATACAGGTGAGCCGCTAGCATCACGCGGACTTTTGTAAGGTTTACTCCTGCGCGGAATCGAACCTCACCATCGGCACTCCCAACTGACCAACAGCCCACTGAATCATTCTATTCCCATTTATTATTATTGTTATTATTATTTATTATTTAATATTTTTAATTAAATATATTTAATAAATTATATTTTAAATTATTATAATTATTATTAAATTATTAAAATTTTTATTAAAATATTGATATAAATTAAGGGGGAAAGTAGATTATGGGTTTCATTTACTAAGCGCCGATGCCATGGGGACTTCCACTCCTGGCAAAAATAAGCATGTCTTTGAAAAATCCGGCTGCCAGTTCACCTATATTTATATCGACAAATGATTCCTTGACGAAATTTTTCTGGTCCGACCAGTAGAGCTGAAACCAAAGTAGTAAATTCTCTTATAAAAATTCTTATAAAAAAATATGATTTTGTATAAAAATTTACAATTATACAAATATTTTTGTTTATTTATAGGATTTCGAGTGGAAAAAATATGGAAGAAAATAGAAAAAATAATGCAATGCAAATGTAGACAAATTATTTTATTATACCACTTAATAATTAACGAATTCCAGATAATATTATTTTCGCGGCTATTTTTTATTTGATAATTTGATAATTATTTGATAATTTGATAATTATTTGATAATTTGATATTTTTATTTGATAAATTCAATTATCCAATCTTCAGTTTTGATTCAAATTTAATATTTGATGTAATCATATTTTCTGTTAATTTTTATTGAAAAATTGAGGGTGAAATTGTGAAATTCATAAAGTGGAAAAAAGGTGCAATTTTATGGTGTTATTTTTAGTGAGGGTGGAATTTCTTTATGGATTATGGATAACATTATTTACTTCCAGTGTACCTTGTTTAATATCTCTTAAGTTTTATTATCTCTTGAGATTAGCAATGAATTGCTCGATATTTTGGCGCGATTTTCGATGCTTAGTGGCAAGATGATTGTCATTTTTTTCGAGAATCGGGAAAGGTTCTGTTGTACGGTGATGTCGTCGAAAGGCAAGAAAGGAAATAGAATAGCTCAAATATTGCTCGACCAATGCCAAGTTGCGTTCTAAATCCTTCGAGAATACACGTGTCCAAAAATCCCGGTGATTCTAGCGACTCACCAGTGCTTCCATCGCCAAGTGACTCCATGTTAATATTTGTCTGGTTCAACAAGCCGGCGGAGCGGGCATAAATAGCAGTGGCAAGCGCTCTTTAAGTGGTATGCTGTTTAAAAAATGTTTCGGAACTGTGTTTTTACTTCTTTTAACATCACATCCCTTTTCTAGTTTGGCTAGTTTCACCGTGTGTTACCATTTCGTTGCACTCGATTTGCTTTCAACTACTTTTAAAAAATTCTTACTGAAAAGTAAAAATACAGTTAGGTTTCCATTATCGTCCGCATTATTTATTATAATTTTTTGGAATTTTATGCAAATGTAAACTTATCGATAAACAAGCAAAGATAGAAATTTTTATTAACTTTTGTTTGTGTTGTAATTCCACATTTAAAACTTAATTAATGTCCGAAAATCTATAGAGAACGATCAAATTTTTTTCATAAATATTGTAATGATGGATTATTTTAAGACACATTTGCAAGCCAAATATAATATTGTGTTAAATTAAAATATTATTGATTATGACATTTTATCAAATATAATATAACATGTTGTTTTGCTATCGAAATATTTTAGGAGGAACTATTGTAAACGGGTAGGTAAATAGCCGAGCAGATAGCAGTCGCGACCGTCTGTGCTTCTAGGATGGCCCCTTCCTGAAATGTTTTGTAAAACTCTTATTAATTACCGAAGTTTTGGTACTTTAACTAACGATAACCGAAATGTCAATAACCGAAAAACCGACTAAAAAAACCGATGAAATGGTAACAGTAAATTTTAGTCAGAAGAATTCATTGATTTAATCTCAAATTTATTTTGAGCTTCATTTCTATTGTCGCGATTTTTAAATTTAATTCTGTTTATTCTTTTTTTTTAGCCGGAAGAATTGTTGAAAAGCAATAGTCTAATTAAGACTGAACGCATGGATCTTTTTCTGATTAAATGAATCGAAAACGATGAATTTCGTCCTCAAAGACTAAATGCCTTTCTTTATCCTGAAAAGGAAAAGAATTCGATTGATTGCATTTGCTTCATTCCCCAGAGAAAACTTTTATCAAATTGCTTATAATTGTTAACTTTTGCGCAGTTTCATAAATATTTCTGTATTATATTAAATTTCATCGGATATTTAATACTTTTTTTATTTATTAGCCAAAATTTTTTATTTTCATTAGTTAATTATTTCAACATATATGCCTTATATTTCCCTATTACTATTATAATTATATTATTGTGATATTTTAAAGCTATTTTTCCTAACGGATAGGTTAATTGAGCGATATTTTATTGCGATTAAAGCTAAACTAATGTAGACTCCTGTTCTGAAGAAAGAGCTTATCACTAATTTCTGTCCCTCCGCTTAAATCATTTAAATCAATTAAAAGGTGTGTTTTAAACGTATTCGCATTTTTAATTTGGATCTAGGCAATGTGAAAAATTCTCTTGCTCGTTTTCTTCTTTCCCCACTTTTGCCTCAGGGCAGCACTTTGTAAATTGAGTCTAGTAGAACATGCAATTTTACGCAATTCGGCATTTCTTTAAGGATCTTAAATTGACATTTTTTGTTTGAAGCATGATTTTTGGCTTCTGTTGGTTACAATATTGTGGAAATGAATGAGTCGATTTCAAAAAAATAAAAAATTCCATGATTTCTTCATCCAAAATGCTCGAGTCGTTTTCAGCTGCTTTCTAAAAATTCTATTTTTCTTGATTTCTTCATTGAAAAAATTTTACCATTATTCTTAGATTTTTTCGAATATTTCCGATTTGTCGCCCTGAAAAATTGTCATTGCCAGATCCTCAAATAAAAGAAAAATTAACTACTCGCTTATTGTATTTTACAAACATATATTGTTATTCCTTGTGCTCTATAGCTTTTCGTAGCAAAATCCTAAAATTATGAATTGTCTGAAAACTTAATTATCTAATTACATTATTGATATGCTTTAAGTTATTAAATTATTATGAAAATATATCGATGAATTTGCTTAATATTTAATATTTTTCTCGATTAATTTTCTCTAAAATTTCGTGTTTCGTGATTTTTGTTAAGGAATCGCTTTTTGGTGTGAAAGTCGTAAGACGTGAGAAATTTGATTGATGAAAATGGCAAACGAAGTTTATAATGATGACTTTTCATGTATAAAGTTTAATTGATTGGATCAATTATGCGTCTATTTGTGATATATTATATATTTATATATTGCATACTATGTTAAAATTGTTGATTATTTCATTTGGTCATACAAAGATTTTTTGAAATTTTTTGAATAAAATATGGTAATTTTTAATGTTATTCTCAGATCTTTCCAGTTTGGATAGTTGTCATTGATTTTATTATTGCCTCTTAATTAACTGCGTTCTTTAAGATGAAATGCATAAAATTGGTTATGAGATGATTTGCAATGAGAAGAAGAAGAGCTGAGAAGAAGAGCTAACTATCAGGCAGCTGATATCCTTTGAATACAAAAAACTAATCACACAGTCCGCTTCATTTTGTAATTGGATAAAAGGACGGCTGTATATCCATTATTCCGTCTATGAATCCAACAAATATCTATGATTTATCATTTGCCTTCCTTTTCATTCCTATTTAGTGAATTTTATTTCATATCTTATTTCATGTACATATTTGATTTATAATTTTTTTCGGATTTAGGCTTATATTCATTAATTCCGCTTCATTGATGCAATAGATTTCACGATAAGGAAAATAAAAAAGTCAGACTTCCCTGTCGTTTATCGTTAAAGTCGCTAATTTTTCTGATTTCGTCCTTTTTCAACTCACTATTTCACCATTTTTGATTTGATTGGCTCCACTGACTAGGTTGGGTTTCGAATCACTGGGAACTAGAATGTCTTCGGCAGCACCTGCATCTCACTATTCATGGCAGGTTAAAGAAAAGAAACTGAGTTCATAAAGCTTGATTTTAGAACAAAATATTATTCTCGCTGCCATTTGTCGACCGAACACCGACTATTCGTTATTTTCTTACGTAATTTAATTATGTTTATTTTCCGAGAATTTTAACACTTTGAATTTTGACAGAATTTTACTTCCTAACAATTCTGTTGCATTTCCTATAACATCTGCGATGTATTTAAGTCCATGTAGATGGAGGGATTTTAGTGTATAGAAATAGTGCGTTAGAAATTTCACTGCATAAGGTACTTTAGGTTTTTTTGCTTAAAACTATTAATTTAAAGACCATTCTTTCAATTGCCGTAGACCCAAGATGGCTTGTGCAGATCAATCATGTCTCACGGTATGTATAATACATATGATGTGATGTCTTCAAACGGATTTATTTAATTTTTTCACCATTTATTACTCTAAATTTAGCATTACATAAGATGAAAAAATTTTAAAAAATGTTGCCAGTTGCTTAATAGATGAATTTTTCTAAATTTTGCCATTTTTCGCAGTTAAGTACCAACTTGTTAAAACATTGTTAGAAAAAAGAATTTTAAAGTTTTTAGTCATTATTTTCAAATTCTTTAATGTATTAAATACCATTTTCTATTCCTTAAAATTTTACCTTACATTTTCAATTTCGATGGAATTTTTTGAAAAAAATTTAAGTAAGAACCACTAATTTCTTTTATCTTCAGTTAGACATTTAGCAAAAGTAAATAAATAAGTAGGATGAAACTGAGAAACATATTGTTAAATGATTAAATGATGCTAAACAAATCAAATCAAATCAAATCTAAATCATGTGAAGACGCTTGATAAATTGAAGTTATTCACAACTTTTCCGGCTTGTTAGCCAACAAAATATGTTTCTTCTCCATTTTTAATGGTTTAATTTTGAAATATTTCTACAGTTTCGAGTTATATTTTCGTGAAATTTTCAAAATTTGTGAATTAACTGTTTTTACAAGTTTTATGTTTTATTTAAAATTTTATAAGATTTCTTTTTATAAAGTATAATAAGTCCTTTTATAATTCATTTTATTTTAAAAATAATATTTTTTATAAAATTTGACTTAAAAATAGAAAAATTTAATATTGAATGTGCATGCTTCTGAATTAAACTTTAAATTTTAAATTATTAATTTTATTAAATTTTTATTGAAGTTAATGCCAATCGCCGGTTGTTTTTTATTAATTTTATTTTTCTTTGATTTTTAAGAATTCGAGAATTTATTCTTTAAATTTTAAATAAATTCTTTGAAAATTTATTTTCATTAATTTTCGTTGCGAATTTTTATTTATTTCAATGATAAATCGCAAATTCAATTTGAATTGATGTGGAAAAAATTCTTTTTTATATCCAAAATTTCGATTTTCGACTTTTGTTTGCAAAAATTTTTTTGTTTATTATTATTTTTATACCGTTCGAATGAGTTTTTTTTTACAGAAAATTCAGAAAACAATTAGTAATGGAAAATAAAAATTTTTAGCCCTGCAGCCGTCGATAGATCTAGTTCAGCGTTGTGTGGTGGTCGCCCGTCAAGCAGACGGATATGGTTTAACAGTAACAGGTGACCATCCAGTCTATGTACATACGGTTAAATTAGATGGAGCAGCATATCGTGCTGGAGTTCGGCAAGGCGATAAAATTATTAAAGTCAATGGAATGCCTGTTACTGCATCTAATCATCTTGAAGTTGTAAGGATGATTTCAGGTGGATCAGTGCTATATTAATTAATATATTAATTAAATTTATTAATATTAATTAAATTTAACAAAATATTAATTTAATTTATTCAAGTTTCTGCGAAGATTTTCTTTTTTTAATTTCTAAACATGAGGTATTAATAAAAAGATAAAAGGATAAATCATGAATGCAATGATTTTAATCATAAATACCGCTCACCATTTGTGGTGAGGGCAGCTCCACTGGCTTTTAATACGCTTAGAAATCATTTTTTGTTAAGAACTCGTTTGCCAATAGATTTATTGATAGATTGGTAACGCCAACTAGATTTTTTAATGTCAGACTCACTTCTACCGGAGGTAGGAGCCGAACCAACGTCTTTCAACACGCTATCTATTGGATTATCCTCCCCCTTTGTGTATATATCATATTATAATCGTTTATCCTATCGTATAAAATGTTTCATATTTAACAACTGGTATATTACTGCCATACTTTTTATTACTTTTTTGTGAACTCGGATTATTTTTGATTATTTAATTATTTTTGAATTTCTTACTCATGATTGATTTTTATGTAGGCGGACAAACCGTTGCGCTGACCTTGTTAGGAAGATCTTCGAACGTATCCTCTGATTGGCAAGGCACAAATGGTGCTCGACAGCAAGAAAAGTTCTTCGTTGACACGGTGCAATTTGAGGTTGTTTGCTTTATAACACGATCGTATATTATAGTTTATCACTTTATCACTTTTACTTTTGCGCTGTTTAATTGTACACATGACAGAATTAGTCTAAGCCTAAAAGTTTTGGAAAATAAAGAGGAATTGCGAAGAGTGAAAAGCAAGACTAAATTGTTCCAAAACATTCTGGATTCCTGCTTTTATATTTCTTCAAAAAATAATTTATTTTTTTCTAATTTGACACGATTGTTTGTTTTTTTTTGCAGAAAATTTGTTTTCATTCGTTAAATATTGATTTGAAAATTTCCAGAATTTTTAAATCCAAAAATTATTAAAAAATTATAAAAATCAACAAATAAAATAGTGGTCAATTATCCGGCGAATTGAAAGAATGCATTTTTTATTCTCACTTTCTTATTAAAATTTCAAGTTATACTTTGAGTTTTCTCATATTTTTCACAAATTTACACCAGTCCATCGTCATTTATCCGATTTATTTTTTTAATACAAAAGGAATTTTATCGTTGTTATTACAAGAAAAAGAAGAGAAAATATATTTAAAAATTTAACGGACCGGACCTCCAAAGTAAATCAGTTTTGAAGTCAACGTAAAATTAAATTAAAATAACATTATTTTCATTAATTCGCAACTCAACCTTTTTTTTGAAAATCCATTTTTTATTGGCCTTCGCGGCATTTGTTTTATTTCTGTTGTTAAACGCATCGTTAAAGAAGTTGAAACAAATCACTGAAACTGATATTAAGGCTAAAGTATTTCAAATTTTATACTTTTTTTTCTCAAAATTAGTCATTTTATAATTATGATGAAATATTTATGAATTACCAATTTTTGTAAAGTTATATTTGGTGCGAAGATGTTTCCTTCAGACTTTTTTTTATCAATTTCGTCGAATACTCTTGACAATCAAATTTTCCTGGGATTTAGGAAAATTTGAAAAATTTATTCTCGAAGTGAACCATAATGGAGAATAAGAATAAAAATATTTATTCTTTTAAATTTATTTATTTGATTACGATGAACATGATTTGGATAGATTCATTATGAATTATATAAAATTATTATCAGTGATATTCTATTCTCTAGGACGAAAATAAAGATGAATTGAAGCGGAAACAAGTAAATATTATAAGCCAATTACTGGAGCAAGAACGAAGGCACGTTGAGGTCCATCTTTAATCTAATTTTTTAAATTCGTATAATTAAATATTAAAAGGAAGATGGTGAGATGGCTAATGAAATAATTAGTCATTAATTAATTTTACGTTAACTTTTTTCTTATAATCTAATATTTTTAGCTTTAAATTTTAAGTGTAGTTTAATCGCTCTACATGGAAAATAATTTTTTATCCTAGAATTTTCTAATCTGTGATGTACTTTTTAAAATAAATTTATTCTTTCTTTATGCGATTTTTATCAAAAAAGTAAGCCATCAGATGAAATAAAATTGACTTCTTATAGAGAAATTTTACTTGTATATATCTCTTTCTCTTTCTATATCTCTTTCTTAAAGGGTTTACGTGAAAGTAGTATGGAAGGTACGCAGTTGGAAAGGGCTCTGCAGCGAATTGAAAGCTTACAGAATCAACTGAGAAACATCGAATCATTATCACTGGTCATTTGTTATTATTTTACTTTAAAAATTGAATCTTATAATAAATATTAAATCATTAAGAAAAATTATAATAAAAATGCAAAAGAAACTTGTTAAAATACACTTTTAGTTCTAATATATAGAATTCTCCATTAGTAAAAATATTTTGTATTTTTAAATATATAATATATTATATATTTTTAGAAAAATTCAACATAGAAAATTTCAGTAATTTGTGTGAAGCCAATGAATTTAAATCAGCTGGCTTTCATTGCTTTCAGTTTTCTTATGTAATTAATTGCAGAAATAAAAAAAACAACCAGATTGGACAAAAATAAAAATTTTGCAGGAAAAAAATTTGGAAAATATTGCGCAATCAAATCCAATGCAAATCCAAGATGTAATTTCAATGGATGATGAAACTGAGGATAATGACACGAATAGTTCATCAAATGTATTCATTTATTTATTATGTTTATTTATTTTTTCATTTTTCTAAAATTTTTTTAAATTGAAAAATAAAATCGAAAAAGATATAAGGGAAATGATGCAATGAAATTAGACGAGTATCAGTCGTAATTTGCTTCTTGCAAATGAAATTGAACCCTATTAAGCAATACGAAACGATTCTTTTCATTTAATCGCTATTATAATAAATTTTTTTACTTTTTCAATAATTTAAATGAAACGAATAATAAAAAGAAAAATTGTAAAAAAACATTAAAAATACGTTTATAACCACATTATACAATAAATATTGCGCAATGAAACTCGTGTCAAATTAGTAAAATTCGAAATATTTTACTATTTGTTTTGGCTTCAGTTCGATTCTCACGGGCCATTTTCAAATTTCAAGGAATTGCTGAATCGGCCAGCACATCTTGCAACATTTATTAATTATTTGCTGGAAAATGCCAATCCGAGTAGTTTGGTTCGTTTTTTTTTGATTTTTCATTTCCAGTATCTCATTGATTTATTTTTTAGAATTTATTTGATTTAAAAATTTGTTTTGGTTAAGAAGATTGAGAAAAAGTTAAGGGAAAAAAATTTGCATAGTGCATTTCGTTCATTTAAAAAATTCTTTCAAGAATTATGAAGTATATTCCTTCCATTTTATCTTTTAACAGCACTCACTTTTTCTAGTTTGGTTCACTCTACTGGCTGTTAGGTTCAGAGCCCTTTCATTATATAGAATTGTATGGATAGGACGATAGTTTAGGTCATGCCACTTGAATTTTACTTTAATGGCATGTAAGTACCACTCAGCCAATCTGCTTTAAAGTCAAAAAATAGTCAAAATTGATTTTCTCTATTTTCTAATTTTTTTCATATTTTTTATTTTTTTCAGTTTTTTTATTTGATAACAAATGCTTATCAAAATTCTTCTGGCACATCGAAAGAATTGCGGAAATGGGCTTATGAAATTTTTTCAACTTTTCTTATACCAAACGCACCACTATGGTGGGATTCCATTGAACAATCTTTAGTACAAAATATTGATAAGGTTTTCGTTCTCTTTGCTCCCTTTTTTCATAATTTCATAAATTAAAAAAGTAGTCTTAATAATAAATGGATTTCTAAAAAAAGATTCTCGCAATTTCTTTATCGTCATCATCATTCTTTCTTAATTATCTCTAAAGATCCTTCGAATTGAGGCTTATTTGATTAAATTCCTGAAATTAAATTTTATTTGATTAGGTGCTAACTGCCACAACGCAAGGAGCGGAAAGTGATATGGAACCTCTATTAAGAATATTTTTAAGCGCGAGACAGAAATCTTTGGAGGATATTGCCGAACATTTGGCTAATTTTCGTCAAAAAAGAAAAATAGGTAATTCGCATATAAGGAATTAATAGAATTTAATAGAATTCTTAATGCGCTATTAAACAAACAGCAAATGTGGAATTATCCAATTTATAAACCATTTTAGGATTAGGAAGCTTATTTGATGCAAATCAGCTCGCACGTATTAGTAAGGGTGATTCGGCAATGGAAATGCGTGTTGGTGAAGCAATTTTAATTCGATCGCTCGAAACATTACTCAGTTCGGTCAATTATGACCTGGATAATTGCGATTCGCGATCTCTTGCACTAATCTCTTCTCTGGCAACTGTTATCAAGGTTCTTCTATGAGAAATATCACTTTTTCTCTTATAAACTATTTGATGCGATATAATCTATTTGACCGTATTTAATAATTTCGTCAGATAATTTTGCGAATAAGTAAAAAAGTAAGTGGTTAGCGCTCATCATTTCTTGTTACTTTCATCGTCAGTACAATGAGAAAAAAAATAAAAATTATCAGAAAGTAGCTTGGCGATAAAAGTATTTACAGAATGGTGGCCATCACTACTTTGATTTTTGAAGGGCAGGATACATACCGTTAAATCTCCGATGATCTGAGCAACAAGCTTCGTTATCCAACTTTCACATTTATAACTAAAAGAAATAAGAAACTAAAAGACAAAATGGTTCTTTAAGGAAGAATAATGATGAAAATGAAGTTCGCGAAGTATTTCATGAGCAATTATAGGTTGTTTTAAATATGCGATCGAATACTAATGAAAAGATTCTCGATAGATGTCCGACATTTGTCACAAGAGATAAGAGCGCCATGTTCAAAATGAAAATGTCTACAAAACGCTCGGTCCAAATCAAAGGGCATCACTTTATTCTCACTCATATCAATCTCACTGTTTATTGTTATCAGTGTCGTGAAGCTATATGGGGTGTTAATGCGCAAGCATTTTTCTGCCAGAGTAAGTTTAATTAAGCATTAATTTAGTAAAATCAAGTTTATCAGGCTTACACGATATTCCCCAATATTTAATTTTAAATAATAAATAATAAATAAAGATTGGTGAAAATAATTTTAGATTGTGATGTCGTGGTACACAAGCAGTGCACTTCTTCATTAGTCGATTACTGCTATCCGGCAGCTCAAAAAAAAGCTGGAATGTCTAAATCGAAACAGAGATCTACTTCGGGTGGAAAATACGAAGTAGAAGGCTCAGAGAGAATATTCGATCAACATCCTACAACCTTCATTGGTAGTTTGGAAAGAGCGCAAGAGAAGGTATGCTGAATCATAAAATTAGTGCATCTCATGCAAGAATTTTCATTTTGCTAACTTTCGCCACATAATTTACCCGAACCTACTTTTATTTAACCAGCCTATATTGCTTTTTATTATTTGTTGTTTTATCTCAATTTATTTCCAGTTTTTTTATTTTTCAATGTTGCAGAATCGAATGGATAAGAAAGGGAATGTGAAATCAGTATCATCCGATTCGGGCATCGGCGCTGATTTCGAAAAACCTGTGTCCAGATCACATAGTATGCGAACAAGGGTTGCATTTACCTAAAATTTACATTTTTTTTAAATTTAGAATTTTTTAGATGGCATTTATTTTCTTGTTTTATTATGAAGTTTACGCTAAAATAATTGTCGTCCATCCAATTATCGAAATCAAGTTTGCAAAATAAGTGGAAAAATTCACATTCAAATTATTATGAATTAATCAAGCAGTCTTTCATCTGCATGTTAAAAATATGATTTTTTATTTTTAACTATAAAAACGATTAATTTTAAATCATAGACCGAAGATATAAAAGAAAATCGTCGTGAACCTATAAAATTAGCATGGAGTGGTGGATTGGCTACACATGAAGAAGGCGTACGACGAATTCGAAGTGATGCTGAGAATGAAGAAAAACTTTTACCATTCAATTTAACAAGAACACCTTTGGATCTTACTTCATTATCTAGTAAAATATTCCGTATATTTCATTTGGTTCATTTCTTTATTTCCCAGCTTTTTTACTATTTTTGCAAAATTCCAAATCATTTTTTTTTAAATGCATATCTTGATTGTTTAAATCTGATTTTTTTTTGCCATTTTTTATTTTATTTAAGTACAATTAGTGAGAAATGTTGTTATAATTTAATGTTTTTAGGTAGTTCATCAGTGTCGCATACATCGATGGGTGATGAAGATGTTCATCACATGCTCGAAAAATTAGAAAAAAGCGCTTTAATAGAAGGCGATAGTGATCTCGAGGTATCTTTTAATTTTATCATTTTAAGTTTATGATTATATTATCCATGTAGTGGAAAATGATCGAATTATTGTTAGAATTTTACCGATGAATGAAAGAAAAAAAAAAGTTTTGCGAAGTTATTAACGACCTTGAATATGGATAGCAGTGAGAGTAGTGAGATCGCTTTTTTATTCGTTATTTTAGGTTGAAACGGAGGTTCCTTCTCTGGAAAGTATTTTGGGATGGGAAGTTGTGAGACATTTAAAACCTAAAGAAAAGAAACGCCAAGAAGTTATTAATGGTAAATCTCTTCTTGCTGACCAGAAGTTAAACATGAAATTCGAAATTTAAAACTCAAATTCAAATTATCTCATTTTTTAACTTCGTTGTTCCTACAAATAGAATAAAAAGCTCTGTTTTTATTTAAAATTTTTTCCATCATTAGATTTCCACTGTTGCCTGTTTATATTTCGATTTATTATTCTTTATGGTTTATCTATCATTTATACGGTTTTTATATGATTTTTGGATTTCTGTATGCATTGATTGTTACAGAATTATTTCATACAGAACGAACTCATGTGAGGAATCTAAAAATCTTGTTCAAAGTTTTTTATAAGCCTATGCTTATGCAAAAAGTTGTACCGCCAGATATTGTGAAATTGTTTTTTGCAAATATAGATGAAGTGCTGGAGATTCACAGCGAAATGAACAAGTTCGTGTTGCTTGGGATTTATTATTAACCATCGATTAGTCTTATTATTTTTAAGATAAGGGAGTTTTTTTGGTATTTGGCTATCCTACTGACTTTAAGCAGTACGTAAAATCCACTGCTTTATAGGAAAATGCGTCTTACAATAGAAGCTTGGCGAAAGGACAATATATTAAGCGGCCTTTTTGGCGAAATCGGTCCACTGATGGAATCACTATTTGATGGTGAAAATGGGCAAAAACTAATGCAAACGACATCTGTATTTTGTCAGCATCAACAACATGCTCTTGATATCCTTAGGCAAAGGTATTTTGCTACAGAACCTTTTTTCTTTCACCAGCAATCGCTATTTCTGCCAGAGGGTCTATTGAAAATGTTAATATTGGTGCTCTACACCAATACAATCTTTGGGTTTCATTTTTAACGTTTCTATAAAGATGTTCGAATCATTTGCTTCGAAAAATGATTTGTTCTTGAATTTTTGGTTTTCTTAAATACCAAATTTTTTTCTCTTTAAATTTTGATTTAAACTTCAGTACTTGAGTCCTTGGCGAGTTGAAAAAATTATTGTCGAGTATTTCATATATTTATCCAATTTTTAAATTTTTTTACAATATTTAATTAATTTTCAACGAGGATGCCAATTTTGTTAAAATTTATTTGGTTAATTAATTGACAACTTATGAAACTCATTATATAAGTAATTAAAAATGTATTTTTAAATAGATCTAAAAAAGAAAAAGATGATCAATTAGGGCGATTTCTTGCTGAAGCAGAAAGTAATCCTTTATGCCGCAAACTTCAACTGAAAGATATGTTACCTGTGGAAATGCAGAGGCTAGTGAAGTATCCATTACTTTTGGAAACTATAGCCAAATATACAATAGAGCCATCCGAAGAACAAACGAGATTGCTGAATAGTGTTAATTCAGCTAAAAGAATATTATCAGGTGAATGCTATAATTTTTTTTCCTTCTATTTTATTTCTAATTTTGAGAATTTACAATGTCATTAGAAGAAAGAAAGAAATTCAGCTAGAAAATATTGTTTCACAAAAAATTGAAAAATATATATTCAGCAGTTAATACTGCCAAAAGAAATGCAGAAAATCTTCGTCGATTGGATGAATTACAAAAGCGTCTAATAATACCTGCTTATGATAGGGAACTTATGAATGCTGATCTTTCTTCTCTCAATCTTACTAAGTAGGTTTTTACAGATATTTTCTAAAAAATCTGATCTGCACTTTTTTGCTCTCATTTATTTCCAGTCTTTTACTTGGTTGAATAAATTTTTTTATAGTTATAAACTTGTTCATGATGGTTCATTAACATGGCGCTTTAGCCGAGGTAAAATGGTTGAATTACATGCGGTCCTTCTTGAGGGTGTTCTTCTTTTGTTGACAAAAGCTGGTGATGGTCAAAAACTTTTGTTAAAGATTCAGGTATCCTTAATTGAGGAAATTATATACCTATCCCTTGCCGAAAAATTGAGTTTTATTTAACTTCATTTTTAATCATTTGAAGATAGGAACAATTTTTATTCATTCATCCATAACTTTTTTTGATCTGAAAAATGATTTTCAAACTAATAATTTTAATACATTGCAAATAAATATAGGTTTTGTAGGAACCATCAAAGGATTCACGTTGGTTTCCTGTTTTACCATTATTATCATTAATAATCAAAGAAAAAGCCAATGATAAGCGTGCTTTTTTTATTGTAAATAATATCGAAAGGGGTGCACAAATTTACGAGCTGGTTGCCTCAACTGCCACTGAAAGAAAAACGTTGGTACCATTCTCGAATTATAAGTTGTCTCTATTATCTTAACAAGTTTATATATAAATATATATATATATATATAATTTATATATAATTTAATGCTTTTTTCAGAATTAGTTTTTTCCTTAAGAGGAAAAAGAATCAAAATTTTCCAATAAGAAATAAAAAAATAATCGAGATTCAAGTTCAAAAAATTTATTTTAGATGGTTCAAACTTATTGCGGATCAAATTGATTTTGCCAAACGTGAGAATATTCTTCCTCGATCTCTTCAGTAAGTTTAATTCATCTAACCTTTTTATGAAAAAAACATTAGCAGGTAATTGTAATGCCATATATATTTGATTTGAAGGATGTCATGATTCTAGCATATTTGATTCTTAATATGTTTTATATTTTCAGATCTTTCGATATGTCATCCCTTGGTAGTAACAAAATATTTCGATGCATTCCCATAGATGACTCTGAAGAAAATGATCAAGTTCAATTACTTACTCATCCAAGGCTCGTCAATGCAAATGAAATAATAGTCGAACAACCAACCGTTCTGGAGCACGCTCGTCCTATACTTACTGCTAGTGAACGTCTCAAGAGGACTGATCAAATTATCCTCCGAGCTTTATTAGAAAAACGAGCTATTCTTACTGAATTCTTACCGGGTGTTGATGTTTGCTTTTATTATTTATTTATTTTTTCTATAAGTTTTTAATTTTATCATCTAAATTTTAAAGAGGAAATTTTATTTTTCGTTTAAGCGCGAAAAATTCGACTTCGACTTGATAGGAGTCAATCTATCATTAAAAAGTCCAGGTTGTGCTGGCGGTCCATCGACCCTATCACCAAGTTGCTGTCAAAGATTTCTATTAAGAGCCAATGAAACCATAAATGCTAACCATATGCTAACTATACACTGACCATTTACTATAAAAATAGAAGTTGAAAATTTTTTTTCAAGAAAGGAGATTTGAAAAGCTTGGAAGAATTGACGGAAAAGCTAACAGGTTTGGCTGTAGGTGAATTAAAACAGAAAGATGGACGTGAATTGGCTGTTAGTGCCATCGTTCATGGTAATCGACTTCTCGATGCAATTAATCAAGGTAAATCATCATTTTTATGGTAATTTATAAATTCAAACTTAAAAAATATTTATAATTATTTAAATATAAATATTTTTAAAATGTTTTTAAAAAATATCGTTATCCTATTTTATTTCAGGAATCAATGCGCAAAAGATTGTAAATGAGAATGAAAGTGGAGAGACAGTAAAAGCAGATAAAACTGATAGCGATCTGCCATCTGTTCCGTGTTACAAGCTGACAGTCATTGCTGCACCACTAATGAACCATTTAAAAGCAATGCTGCAAATTATCGAAGAACAACACAACGAAATTGTTTCTCTCAAACAACAACTTAATCAATATAAAGTAAACTCAATTTTCCGAAATAATTTTAAAGTTTCTTAAGGCACTCCATCAATGTATTTAGTTTAAGATCAGCCCTTGGCGAAAGTCATTCATTTGAATGTTTATTTATTTAGATAAATATTTAGGATTTGGCTGAAAATGGTCCTGGATACAGAACAATGAGTGAAGAAACATTGACAGAATCTAATCCAAATGTCGAGAAAATTAGCTCATCTGTTATCGACACAGAAATGGAAAGACGTAAAAAGCTTCTGAATAAGCGACAAAGAAATGCTGCATTGTCTATATCTTCTGATACTATGCAACATATACGTCCAGCCAGTAAGTAAAATGCAGACGGATTGTTATGTGTATTTTCGATTTTCTTTGCTATACCCGATTTGTTTCCTAGAAATTGTTAAAGCATAGAGTAAAATCTTTTTAATTCGGCTATGGCTAATGGCAATTTGGCTTTAAAATTTGGCGATGGATTTCACTATATATATATATATATATAATTCGATGTTAATTGAAATATTTCCTATAATATTAATATATATTTATAATATATAATATATTAATATATTTATTATATTATATCTTTTATATCTTTTATTTTTTACAATTTCCATTGCTGGTTAAACTTGTTCCGCTGGCTTGTCGCACTGGACAAATATTTCATGGAGCTATTGGTGATAAAAATACAGGTGAATCGCATCGCCAGCATCATCCGGATTTTTGGACAGATTCATATGAGGAATAGAGCTTCGTTACCGGCGCTCCGAGCAACAACCCACTTAGCTTATATATATATATATATAATGATGCTTGCTACTAGATTTTCAGTTATTATATGAGGGCGAGATAAAAAAAAAATGTTTTGATTCGTAGTTCTTCCAAGCTTACGGTTTAATTTAAAAATTCAAGCCTCAGTTGGCAAAAATTGAAGCTAAAAAACATAGTGGTATAAGAAGTAAGCCAAGTGGCAAGTTTATATATTCCTTCCTATTTAAATTCAACTGCTCATCTACCTCTTCCCACTTCTCATTCTATTCTTATATTAGATGGACTGCTTGATTTTGTAATGATTTAGTGAGGTCTATGCCTTGTGTATTTTCATGCAAAAATCTATTTCTCATCGATATAAAATTTTTTTTTTTGAAAAATGATTTTTAACTTATTTTTCAGTTCTTTAGTGAATAACCACCGAGTAGATGATTTTAATATCATTAACATTCATTATTATTATTAATATTACTATTATTATCATTAATTATTAATTAATAATTATTAATGACTTTACGGTTGATTTGTTTATATTATTTATTTCTTTAGGTACACGAAATTTTACGAAATTTATAGCCCTTTTTTTCGCTATTGCTATAGCTTTCGGATATTTTTTTATTATATCTTCTGGTTACCTTCCTTAGGATGTTTTTCTAGAAAATTGATGAATTATTTACTACAAAATTTATTACGGAATTTGATCAAGAAAGTATTGTTTATATTATTTATGTACATAATTGTTTAATAAACATTTTTCTTAAATCAAAATAAATTTTGCAGCGCTTGAATTAATTTCAGTAACCTTCCAGTGAAAAATATCATTCATCCATCCCCATCTGTGGAATTTCTTTTTTTTATTCAAATAATTGATAATTGACAAAGTCGAATCGAACCAATTCAATAAACGTTTAAAAATAAAAAAACATTCATATTGGTTAATCAGTATCAATGTTTGCACAGTTTTTTTTTTCTCAGTTCTCGTTTTCATACGATTTATTAATTTTCTTCTACGAATCTATGTTTTCCTCCAATACATTGGGAAAAAATATTGCTTTTTGAATTTTTCATATTATCGAATTTTTCGTTATTCTTTCTTAAAAATCTGGAATTATAAAAAAAAGAAAAATTTTTATTAAAAATGGCGACAAGAATTAAATAAAAAGTGGTAAGCCATCTCACCATTTCTCGTTATTTCCGCTGGCTATTAGTATGATTAGAAATTTTTGCGAAGCAATTATCTGATGCTAAAAGTACAAATAAGGTCGATCGGATGTTTTAAAGGTATACTCATATCGGAAGCAAGAGCGGGACTCTCGCCTCTCAAGCTCATGAACTAAATCTGAGCCAAGTCCATCATGCCTTTGAGATTGAAATCAATGCAGGTGAAACGTTGAAAGAAAACCAAGAAGATTTGCTGCTAATGGTGCTACAGTAGAATGATAGCTAACAGCTTTCAATGCAATCAATACTTTGGTTGCTTCCATAAGGTAATAGATTGAGATCCGACTCACTTAAAATCTCCCCAGAACCACTCGGTCATAAATATAATTGATATATCAAATAAATTTTATCTGCTATAAATCTATAAATTCACTCTTTCTTAATAGGCGCTTTAGAAACTAAATGAGAATGGCAAATGCATTGGATGAAATTGATTAAAGAATGGTTGGCATTATTTATATCGTCCTTTTCAATCCTGACATATCTTGTTCAATAAAATTATGGGAAAGAGACATATTTGGCCTCCAAATAGATCCACATTAGCGTCAGAATCGACTAAAAAATTTAGGATTGTGGCGGATCTTTTTAAGGCAAATATTATTTCATAGAGATAATCGTATAGCGATGAAACAATTTGCTGAAAAAGTAATCGACACATTAAAGATAGCTATCTGGCTTTGAAAAAACGCAATATACCTTAAAGCCAAAGCCATAATACTCGAAAGAATACAAGCTAGGCGAAGCAGACAATTTGTCTGACTGGACGGCCGAAACGAGAGTGCCAGGAAATGCTAGAATGCTATCGGCAACTCCATGGACTCACATAGAGAAACACTGGAACAGTATGGTTTCGAAAACGGAGACAACAGTTCAATTACGCGATAATCAAAAATTATTTTGTTTACTTCGCAAAGCAATAGTATTTCGAAAAATAGTTAGTGAAATGATCTGATATAAGGATGGAAACCTCATTATGGTCATCAAAGGTCATATCTTTCAATGAAAAGAACCTAAACTTAATTACGACTAACCATCCCAGACATAACTGGAGCATATTTAGAGCCATTTGTAGTACGATCGCAGTAGTGAACCAACCTAGCATCTCCTTAATTCACAAAATAAGGTCCAGTAAAATCTCCGAAAAAAATGGTTCGAGAATGGTTCTTTGAATGCTGTCCAGTATCTTTCACAACATACCTGCAAAGATATTCACTAGTGCGGTAGAAGGAGCAAATGTTATATGATTGGAACAAGGCAATTCTGCTCCCAATTCGCAAGATGATAGGGTGCACTGTGATAACTATCGAGGAGTTTGCTTTTTGACATTACTTTTGTTAATTCTAAATATCACGAATGATGAATAAATTAGGCCATTATTTTTTTTTAGGTAAAATTAAATATTTTAGTAGATTGGGAATTTTTTTTTTAAGAGTCTTCACCATTACTGGTTAAGCTCGCTCCGCTGGCTTTTGCCAGGGAGTCCCTTGGCGATGCAAATACAGGTGAGTCACCAGCATCACCCGGATTTTTGTACAGGTTTATCGGGGATATTGGGTGATAAATAAAATATCGTCATAAAAAAAACCGAACGCGATTCTTAGAAGTTTTTTAATGGAGAAATGGATATTACTACGATGATATTCTTTTTCTTTTGCTTTTAATTTATACAGATTTTTCACATTTTACCTTTTCAGATATAATAATATTAAGCCAGAGCGAGACGATGAGTTGTTTAATTTAGAGTCAAGCAAAGTGAGTTCGCTGCATGTGCCAGGAATAAATGCGCTAAGCTACCCGCACCCTATCCTCAAATGATTCCATGTCTCAACCTCTCTCTTTCTAATCAATGGCGTTTGCCAATCCAGAAATGAAATTTTAATTTTTATACTAAAAGGTATGAATGATAATGAAAAGCAAATGAATAATTTTTTTAAATTTCTCATCATTCTTTCACGAATTTCGATTTAAATTTTTCTTTCTTTTGGTAGAACTTTGTTTATAACTGAAAAATATTTGCAACGGAACGATATAAGCCAACCAGGAATTTTCTGTTTCTCTTTTATTCGTTTTTCGCTCGTTAATTATCACTCTGATTGTTCGTTCGTTTTCTCATTTTCTTTCTTTTTGCTTTCAAATAAATATTCCAGAAATGTCATTTTTCATTTTTCATATATAAGTGGCTAGCGCTCGTTCTTTCTCGTTAGACTGCGCTCACTGCACAGACTATTGGGACGATCAGAAATTTTTGCCCAGGGAATCACTTGGCGCGAGAAGCTCAGGTGGATCGCCAGCACTTCTTTTTATGTTTTCTCTCATTTCCAGTTGAAAATAAGAATGAAACAAATTGCTAAGTGAGTGAATTTGTTTTAATCGAATTTTTCTCGCAAAAAAAATTCGAGATGGAATTCTTATTAATACTGAGGAAATTAGCTGGATGAAATAGAAATTTTTTTAATTATTCATTTATTTGACTGACTAAATGAAAAGGAGAACTTATTTTAGCAATATCTGTTGAGTGTCGCATGTCTCTGCACGTTGCACGCCTTTGCATATTGCACAATTTCCGTCATTTTGAAAATGTGCAATGAAGAAAATTTTGTAAGGCATTTTATGAGAAAATTAATGGTCCTAAATTCATCATTGTTTCCAGCATAAAAATTTCCTTTCTTTATTTTTTTCTTTCTTTTTTCCTTCAGATTCAAACATACCAATTTAAAATTAATGTTAGAATGGTTATTTTCACTAAAACATTAAATTTTTCCAATATTTTAAGCAAAATTTCCAACTAAAATAAAAAAAATTTTTCATCAAAATGCATCTACAATTCGAGAAATTGACTAATTCATATTATAAAATGAAATAGATATTTGACGGTGCATTTCCTTAATTCACATATTTAATCTAAACTATACCTTAAAATAATCTCTTTCCATTGTAAAATATTTTAAAGGGCATGCTTGCATGCATGCCACGGCATTTGAATGGTCTTTGTTTTTAGAAAAAAATTAAAGCATACTGTGAGAAATTTCATAATGCTAATATTTTCGCCAGTGAAGAAAGCTAACAAACTGATAAATCGAATCTTAATTGAATGATTAAAAATAAATAAAGTAAATATTCATTTAAAGATCATTACTAGTGGTCGCAGAAATTTTCGTTAAGGATTCACCTGGAATTAGAAGAACCGCTCAAGGGGACCACTAGCACCATCCGAATAAAGCACTAATAGTTTAAAAATAACACAAAAAAACATTAAAAAATACGAAATCAACTTTATTCACATCTTTTAAAAAAATAACCTTTGAATATAAATTTTAATTTAAGAATAAAAAAATGAACAATTCCATTTGAAATCCATTTTAAATCCATTATTAAATTTAATTAAATTGTTAAAATGGAAAAATGGACGGAAAAATACTAATTTTATTAAATATCCACAATTTGCGAAAAAATATATTGGCAAAATTGAATTAGGAATTTTAAGATAATAATAGATATAACCAGCTAATTTAATTAAGCCAATTTAATTAACCAATTAAACAAGCTTCTCGAAATATTTTGCGGATCGCTTTCGTTGTTTTCATTTTTTAGAAATTCAAATAAATTATCTGAAAAGATTTGTTCAGTTTCAGCAACTTTGGGTTACATGCGCTGCAAAATCAAAATGATTCAAATTTGAAAAAAATTTAGATCTATAGATTACCGGCTTTTCGTGGACACTTTTCGGTTATATAGATAGTAGTTCACTTGGTGAGAAAATAGGGGAGCCACAAAAGGCTAAAAGGTTAAAAGAGCGAGATGAATAAAACAAATCATAAGGAAATGAAAAAATTAGCTATCCATCCAACCAAAAAGCGCTTTTCGTTTATAAAGTTTACAAGTTTTGTAAAATTTTAGTAAACTGAATGAAAATGAAATATGCAAAATGGACTTCCACGATCTTCCAGAAAAATGTGAAATCTATAAAATATCACTGTTTTTTAAAAGTTCCTATTTCAATGCTTTACTTTCGTCTTTCTTTTCTTATATTTTTTAATTTTTATGAATTAATTATCGGTTTTTTATTCCCGAAAATCTGCAATATAAGAAAAATTTCATCTAAAGCGCTTTACTTCTCATTTTGGTGAATTTCACCAAATATTCACCATTTATTTTTTAATAAATAGCTTCGAACCTTCTTTATTCTGGAACCTCATTCTATTCCTTTTTTTCCTTTTCCTCTTCAAATTCCCATTCAAATACCTCAGGTTATACGCTCTTTTAATGCCCCACCATAAAACCTAATAACTCTCGGATTCAGTTATATGCTTCAGCACTTCGTCTAAACCACTCCTGAAATCCTAAAAACCGCCTCAAACTTTGACATATTCCCAACATACAGCCTATTACATTTTCTTCAAAACCCCTACATGCATTCCTTCAGAAACCATGTTACATTTCATAAGCCATATTTTTCGTATTTCTTTCATAAGCCCTGTGATCTCCCTTTGCGTAAAAAGTGGTTCACGGCTTCGAACTGTGATCCCCAGTTTGTATCGCCCATTTTCCAGCAGCACTCACCATTCTCCGTTCGTCTCATTAGCTAAAGGTCGCCAGACAATTCCTCGGCGGCAAAAATGCAAACAGAGCCCAACACCGCAATATTCCACAAATGCGTTTACTGCAGGTCGCAAAGTGTTTAATTTTCTGCATTTCCGACTTCGACCATACATACAAAGCGGACAAACCACTATAAATATACGCAATACAATCAAATTGCAACAAAATCACGATACTGTTGACTATCCTAACTTAATGCTCTTCAGCGAACCTAATATTCTTGACTTCATGAGTAACGTCCGCTCCGATTTTTAGTAATGAGAGAAGCTGCTCGATATTCTGTTTTAGTTTTGCGATTCTGGTTTGAAAAAATCGTTCAGTTTTGTATCAGAATTTATCGCAGACTTGGTTTAAATTTTTAAAAAATTAGTTTTTATCCTTTTTACCATTTTATATATTTTTTATTATCGATAATATTTCTATAAATAATCAATAAAATTATAAAAATAATGAATTTCAAAATTTTTTTGAGAAAAACTTCATTATTTATTATTTCTTTTTTTTACAAAGTTAATCTGTGAATTCCATCAAAAAACAACCAAATTGTATTATACCAGTTGGTCTGTTCGGTTTCTGTTTTGCCCGACTTCCTATAATTTCGTCATCGTCAATCTAAATCTCTTTCTTATCACTTCAGTCTTTTTGGTTTAAATCTTAAATGTTGATAAAACATGAATTTTTATCGTTGTCATGCGACGTTATCGCGTCGCATCTCCTCAGTTCTTCTCTTCTTCTGATAGCTCTCGCCATTATTGGTTAGCCTGGCTGCGTCGGCTGCCAGTTGGCTTTTCCATACTACTCGATTCGATGCCATGTCTAAGATTGACAGAAGCCATTCCTTTTCCCATCACATACATCGGTGGGTCATCCATATATATTCAGAATCTTTTCTGGCTGTATTCGATTGTAAAAGGCGTTGGATAAAACAATATTTAAAAACAGCCGGAACCGTCTTCTTCGGGATTTTTGTCGGCTTTAAGCTTGTTTATAACGGAAATTTTTGTGTTGTCGACATTTCAGATGTGTTCAGAATGGCAGATGGCACGTCGTGGTTAGGCCGAAGAATTTCTTCCATTCGTATAAACGTTCTTAACCATAAGATAGACATCATCAGCTCGTATTATTTCTCGAGTTATGGTTCTTTTTTGAAGAAGGTGCAATAGTCTCCTCCTATCTTCTCAAACAGCTTTTTTATGTTTAGGACCATATCGCTTCTAGCGGTTTTTGCCGTTCTGCTGTCGTATGCCTTCGAAATATTTGGTCGTCCAGATCTCCTGACACGCATATTATGACGAATCATAACGAATTCAGCAAGTCCTAGGTGAATTTGGCGATTTTAGGAGATAGTTTTTAGTTGAAGCCAGGATTCATGGGCCGTTCCAGAAGTGCCTTTGACATTTATATCAATAAGGTATTTCGATAGTTCGGTTTGCAATGTGCTAACTGATCCCTAAATCTTTTAGTTTAAGATAATTGAAAGGTTTTAGAAAACGGTGTTTTCTGCGAATTTCATATGGATCTTCGCCGGAACTTTAGTCTTGAAGGTTGCCAGTCATATTTAGTAGGGCACAGAGTCCATCGCGGCAACATTGTAATTTGCACGTGCATTTCCACGATTATATCATCGTATCGCCTTTTAGAAAAAATATTATTAGCAGTTTCCAGTAGAACCTATCTTTATCACGGTCATCTGTGTCTGTGCGCAAAGTAGGAACATTCACTTTAATATAAACATTGCAAATTTCCGGACCTAGATCATGCGGTCACCATATCGTATCAATTTTCACTTAATCAGAGCGAATGCCATTTCGCCTCGACTTATCCAAAGCATCACAACCAGTACTTTTATTTTTAGCCAGTTTTTATAGTTGCTAGAGATTCTAAATGAAGAAGAGGAACTACGAAGGCAATGTCCACACGATATTTAGATGTCTGGTCACTCGCTGTGTGCAGAGAGTCGAGCGTTCTAATGTTCCACGCTGCTCCAGCAAACATCCGTTGCGTGTGCATAAAGGCAATTTCTGTTCATTTCTGTTGACAGGTTTCAGGTTACCTATGCTTGGGAATGCATTTTGTTCTTGAAATCGTCTCGATAGGCTACTTTTGCTTACTTATCGGAAGTGCTGCTGAGCTAGAGATATTATATGCGTTGAAGGATGTTAAGACGTATTAAGATGATTAAACCCATTCACCACGGAAGTACAGGTGCTTCCATAGTACCCAAATTTTAATTTTCATAAAAGGTTTATTCCTGTTAAAAGATTAATTGAATGAAGAAAATGGGGGGAAAAATTTTATTGTCAGTTTAATTTCTCGTTTTTTATTCATTTGATTTTCTTTTAATTAGCTAAGAAAGCCTTCAGTTTTATTTATAAATAAATAAAATTTTGTTTTATTTAATTAAATTAATCATTGCAGATGCTTCTTTCCATTCATCTATTTAAAAAATTGTATTCGCGCAAGTTCTTTTATTTCTACAAAAATTTAAATGAAAAATTTTTTTCTCGATTATTGGAAAAAATAAAGGAAAAGAAAGAAGCAGACAAATGAAAAATTTTTTGAAAATGTTAACAAAATGATGAAACGAATTGAGTTGCCAATAATGACGATATGCTTCTTCCTTTAAGTCGAATTGCTATATAAAAGCTTTTGGGTTGGGGTTTCCAACTAAACTGAACTGCTTATTGCATTGCACTGAAATGAAATGGATTTTTGTCTGTGGTTTGTCATCACTAATTTTTGTTTGCCTGCTCGAATCGCAAACGTTCCTCTAAATACATCATTTGTGTCGCTGTCTCGTTCGTTATTTGTATTGCATATTTTTGCTGCGCATCATCAGCTGGTGAGGAGAGTTACCCACTTCATTTTTATTCATTTATTTGACCTTTTTTCACTTATTTGACCTTTATTCATTTGTTTCATCTTTATTTTTACTAATTATTTAGCTTTTTATTCTTTTTTTGATTTTTTGATTTAACTTATTTTCTTTCTTCTTTTTTGTTGGAATTTACATTTTTACATTTTTATTCTAAAAATTCTATTCTAAAAGGAATTTTATAAAATTTTATCATATACTTTCATGTTTTGATTGTTTTAATTTGTGTTTTTACCATTCTCAATTTTGTCGAATTTATCGAAAGTTTATCGAAAAGAGGTTCCATATTCTTTACAGCGAAAATTTTTATGATTCGTTCGATGATATTGTGAAAATGAGGATTAATAAAATAAATAGCAGTAAAAGTGTAAAATCGCGATAAATTAGGTTAATCTGTCTCAATCGATTTTGTTTAAAATAGATTTTTATTAATGTAAATTTTAAAAATTTTTGTTATTTATCCTTTGGTAATTAAAAATTTATCTGTTATTGATAATTGATTTGTCGATGTTTCAAATATATTTATTTTCTGAATTTTTAAGAAAAATTAACATTTCATTTTTGATTGTAACAACTGTTTGTAATGAAGTGTAAAAAATTGTGTCGACGAAAAATTAACAAAGCAAAAATTGTTGGTATCAAAATCACTTACCAAATAATAGATTTAATATTTATTCCCCATTCTATTCTTTGATGTTAAACAATTGACTGATTATTTATATGTATGTAATATATTTTAGATCGCGAGAAATGCCCGGCGAATCGAATGGCACAACATCGAATGGTGATTTACAGGGTACTTTTAGAAATTTCGATCCTGAGGATCCGGAATATATAAAAGATTTGCAACGACCCGCTGCTATCAAAGTTTTTGTTGTTTGAAATTTTTTAATTTTTTTCATTATTTTTGTCTATTCCATTGTGAAGAAGGCATAATTAGGTCAGGTATATTTTTATGGGTCAAGGGAAATGCTTTTGAACAATTTTATTTAAAAAAATTTAATTCTTCAAAGGCTTTTTCTTTGCAAAATTTTATCATTTATATTGAAATGATAAAAAAAAGGGCTGAAGGTTTCGTTAATCAATCAAGTGAAGGTTACAACTCGAATATTGTTTGCATAGCTTTTATTTGTCTCGAAATGCACCATATTTTTTTTTCTTCTTTTTTTTAAGCCAATCTATCGACGGTATTGACATTGATTTGCACATTACTGATCATTCTTTCCAAATAATTTATTAGTAAAATTTTGTAAAATTGAAAATTGAAATTGAAATTGAAAATTGAAAAGTAAAAATATAATTTTTTTGGTTAAGAAAGCCATAAATACATATTTAAGTTTATTTATAGGAAGATTTATCGGAAATGGAACGACGAAAGCGTGTACAAAAGGTTCTTGAATCAAAGGAATTTTGTCGTGAATTAGAAGAATTAATTAAACACGACAATTGTAAAAGTGACGTTGATGTGATAAAACGATTATCACAGTTAACACTTCCATATGGACAGTTAGCTTCGATTAGTCTTCATAATAATGGTTAGTTAACATTTTTCTCTTCCTTCTAAAGTAGAGGCAGTCTCGCTTTTTAAGGTTTTGGGATAAATGGCAATATTTATAATGAGTTTAGGTAATAGGCTGAACTGAAATGAATAGGTTTTGCAGTACCGTCAATGCCAATATTACCGATTGCCGATCTTCGAGGCAATGAAAATTATTCGAGAGCGGAGAAAATAATTAGAAATAAATTGGCATCGTTGTATCGTCTTGTTGATATTTTTCAATGGTCCCAAGGGATTTATAATCATATAACAGTTATTTTTTATTACTTCTTTAAGCTTATATAAGTTTTGTTAAAAGATTTTAAAAATTTGTGAGATGAACGAATAGTAATATCGCATCATGAAAATCAAGTATCATTTGAATAAAGGTAATTAAAGATATAGAAGTAATTAAAGGCATTTCATAACCATGTTTAAGAAAAAAAATGTTGAATTGTTCAAAAAATTCTTGTAGTGCATAGTTTAGCAGAAATTATAAAAATAATTTCATCATTGGCAGGAATGTTTTAAGTTGTTTAATAGGATTTTCTATAGATGGGAGAAAAATAATTTATAAGTTACCGCTCCAATTTTTAGAAATATTTATGAAATAAAATTCCAGTTGAGGATATCAGCTGATAACGAGCAAATATTAATAAATCCGTTTGGTTTATTATATCATGAAATAACTGCATCTTCACTAATAAAAATTAATTTTGATGGTGATATATTAGATCAAGGTTCAACTAAACTTGGAATAAATCAGGTTATTTTTTCTCTTCGGTCTTTTTTTAAATGTTGGTCTAATTTTGAATAATTTTTTCTTATTTAAATCTGATTGATTATTATTTTCAGTATATATTTATTTTTTATATTAGTTTCGAATATATTATAAATATATTTATTTGAAATTTTCTTTTTCGCTTTTTGCTGTATTTCAATTTTTTAGATTTGTTGTAATCAAAAATCAGCATGAGTTTCTTATTTTTTATGAAATTTTACTTCATGCATTCACCATGAATTTTTAGTTTATCTAACTTATTACTTTGATGACCTTTTACTTTTGAATATTTTTATATCCGGGTGGTGCTGGCAACTCACCTATTTCTATCGCCAAGGGACTCTCTGGCATATTGCTCAATGCGACAAGCCAGTGGAGCAGGTTTAACCAGTAATGGTGAAGACTCTTAAAAAATATATATATATGGATCACCAGTAGCCATTCCTTATTGCTTTCAATCAATGCAAATGAGATTGCTCATTTTTTTGGAGGAAATTTAACGATATCCATAGAAAAGTTAAATTATTCCTCACAAATCCCGATGATTTTTTGCTTTTTTTTTTTAAATTATTTGAAGAATTTTATTCTTGTCGGAAAGAAGAAATTTTTGTTCTATTGAAAAAAATTCTGACTATGAATAAAAATAATGAAAGGAATTATGCATCTTTTGAGAAACATTTAATTTTCTTTTTTGCAGGAATAGGACTCGTTTTTACAAGTACATAAAAATAGAGAAGAAATTGCATAAGTTATACTTTATTTTTCAGGATTTTTTCTTTTTTTAGGCTGGCTATGTACTGCATTCAGCAATTCATAAGGCTCGTCGAGATGTAAACTGTGTTTTACATCTACATACACCTGTTGTATCGGCAGTGTCTTCTATGAAATCAGGTTTATTGCCGATTTGCCAGGAAGCACTTATTATTGGACCTATTGCTTATCATGATTATAAGGTTTTTTCATCCTTTAATTATTTCATTGTTCTTCCTGTACTACCACTCATAATCTTTGATGCTGGTTTTTTATTGCGATTATAACTGCAGTTATTTATAATTATAATTTACTTATAATTCTTCATTTATCATTATTTACAATTCTTTTTTGAAATAATTTTTGTAATTTTTTAATACTTTAAATGCACAACTTTTCGTAATCTTTTTTATAATCTTTTTTATATTATATCTTAAATTTGATTTTCTTATGATTTTTACAGTTTTTTATTAAAAATTATTTATTATTAATAATATATGAATATTTTTCATTCTTTAATTAAAAGTATTTCCATATCACTGAATTCTTAATAAATATTTTTTAAAGATCCATATTTTTTTATATTTTTGATGAGGCAATTTGTCGTATTTATTTTTTTTTGCAGGGTATATTAAATGATGAAAACGAAAAAGAATCGATTGTGCAAGACTTGGGTGATAAAAATGTTAGTGAAAAAATAAATAAATAATAAATTTAGATAAATTCCATTAAATAAGGTTTTTTAGAAATGAATGAATCATTTTCTATTTTTCACTGATCTACTGCATGTCGAATCGTTTTTCCTCGTTTTTTTTTTTCAAAAATTCATTCTGCATGGCTTACAGTTTTTTTACTGTCATTATCTGAAAATTTTTAAACATTGAATATTGTGGAGAAAACATTGCAGGTATATTTTTTAAATATTTAGAAATACAGATACAAATTACAAATTATAAATTTAGTGGAAATATCTACGTATATCTTCTTCTTTATTTGTTATATTTAGCCTTCGATTCAGAATTTTAGGTAATGTTATTACGTAACCATGGATTTGTAGTTTGTGGTAGTACTGCTGAAGAAGCTCTTCATCTCGCATTCAATACAATAATCGCATGTGAAACACAGGCATGATTAATTTTATTTTTAAATTTTCATTTTGTTTATCGTGAGATTTTCCTAGGCAAAGATGTTTTGAATTGAAATTTTTGACTAAAAAATTTACTGGAACTTTTTTTCCATTTTAGCTATTCTTTCATTTCATGCGAAAATTTTCTTTTCGTAAAAAATCTTATCTTTTGTAAAATTTCTCTTCATTTTTTTTTCTTATTCTGAAAATTCCGAAATATATTTCTGATCTAAATATAATTTATTGGTATAGAGGGGAGAGCTAACAAGAAACAAAAACAGCAGTAATTCGAATAAGTGAACATTTTAGAATATTTTTTTCTCTCCTTGTCCTGAGAGAATTGTTCGAAAACAATTCGAACGATATTTGCGAATCAGTATTTTATTTTGTGAGGAAGGGATAGATTTTTTGGCAAGATTGCTATTTATATTTTGTTTTGCCTAGTTTCACACATTTTTAAAATTATATGTTGTTTTATTTTTTGTCTTCGCAAAATTTAAAATTTGGACTGTAAATTGTTTTTTTTGTCTGTAAAAATTATTTACTTTATTTCAAATTTATTATCAATTTTTAATTTTATCAACAACTGCAAATAATAAATTTGAAAATTGCTAAGTATGTTTATTTATTTTGCATGAAATTTTTGTGAATCTTTGTCAACACGCTTTCACTGTTTTTGTTTTTTACAGTATTAGTTACACTTAAGTATAATTTTAGAATTTATTGCATTTTTACTAAATCTATGAAAAATTAAGCCGGCTGTTAATATCGATTTACGACATAGGAAAAAACAATTATATTTATATTTTTTTCGTCATTTTATTTATTTTGCTATTTATAAGATATTGGATAAGTTCAGATATTATTTTTACGTACAAATGGATTCGTAATATGTGGCGAAACGATCGAAGAGGCAGTTTATCTAGTTCGAAATTTAATTGGCGCTTGTGATCATCAGGTTCATTATCATTTTTTATTTTTAATATTTTTTTATTCAATTTTTGTACTTTTTATGGTTCAGTGTTGTCAATTGCTTCTATCAGCTCGCCTAAATTAATTTCATACTACTTTGTTCTTGGCCGAAGTAACCAATAACTACTATTAACTACTGTCGAATTCGGAAATTTCTTTTCAATATATATTTTTTTTGGCCGAGAACTTTTTCAATAATCATTACAAATTTCATCTATATTTTTTGTCGATAAGAAAAAGAAATAATATTGATTATAATAAATATTATTGATTTTTCTAAGAACATTCCATTTATTTATTCATAATTTTTATTTATATATTTTATATATTTTATTTCGATAAAAAACTTTATTGTACTTCAGCTTACCTTTATTCTTAAGCCTTTTTTGTAATTTTTTATGCTATTTTCATTTCTGCAAATTATGTTTGCGATAATTTTTTAATCTTTTATAAATCGTATTTTTGAACTAATTTGATTTGTAAATCTTCTTTTTTGATTAGATTTACGTCGTTTGTTGAATTTTCTCGATAATTCTTTGTCTTTTTCATTTTTATATGTTTTGGTTATTGTTTGTATATCAATTTTTTATTTAGAAGAATTGTGAAGAATTACTAAAAATTTTTAGTTTCAGTTCTATCTTTGTTTTAATGAATTATTTTGCTTTTATATGTGCAAACTTTTGGAGGATCTTCATTATATTCTTGATTGTTATCAAAAATTATTTATAGATTAGAGCAATGCGTGCCGGACTTGAAAATTTAGTTATTCCTGATGAGAAAGCTGTTGAAAGGGCTTATAAAACTGCTAAACACGGAAGTTTGTTCTTTATTTTATCATTTAATGCTTTTTTCTAATTATTTTAGAAGAATTGTAAATTATATAAATAAAAAAATTTGCCTCTCTTACTATTTTTTCTTAAAAATTCTTATGAGTGGCAGGTACCATTCGTATTTTCTACTAGAGGCTTGAGAAAGATCGGAGGTTCTGCGCAGTATCTTAGATATTCCTAGCAGTATGTTCTTCTAGGTAGAGGTCTGTGATGTCGTTGCTGGAATTTGCTGAAGCCACTTTTCCAGTTTAGAGGTCAAAGTGCTGCAATCATTGGATATATGGCCTTTACTTGTCCTCATTTTCTGAAATTCCTCTTTTAGCCTTTCATATTTCTCTAAATTCTCATATTCTTTTTTCCTGAGTTCCTATTGTATTAATACATCTATTACCAGTGCTGATTTTTGATTTTTATCTATTACAACGATATCTGATTGATTGGCCACTATTTACTTTTTTCTTTGATGGAGAAGTGCCACAGAATCTTTGCTTTATCATTTTCTACGATTTTCTAAGGAATCTCCCATTTAATTTTGGGAATATCTATGCCATATACTCAGATATTCCTGTAGATGATACTAGCTAATTGCTTATGCCTGTCAGTATATGTTATTCCTGTTTGTATTTTACATCCTGCTGTTGTTTTTGGGGCGTTTTCACCCAGAATTCTATCTAATATATGTATCTATGTATAATTTTTTTATGTATAATTTAAAAGAGTCCTCATCATTACTGATTAAATTCACTCCACTGACTTGTCGCACTGGGCAACATGCCAGGGAGCCCCTTGGCGATAGAAGTACAGGTGAATCGCCAGCATCACCCGGACTTTTGTACAGATTTACTCTTTCGAGTAATCGTATATATATATATATATATATATATTCATACATAAAATAGAAAAATTCTTATCAAATTTTTATTGAAAATTTGTAAAATATGTAAAATGCGCTTCATTGTAGGTGGTGGCGTTAATCGATCGCCATGCAAAGATGCAGAAGGTAAAACAATCTACTGGAGAATTGGTGAACTTGAATGGGAAGCATGGATGAGAGTTCTTGATAATGCAGTACGAAAATTTCCAAAAATTTCGCAGTTCAATCTCAATTTTTATTTTATTAAAAATTAATAGAACGAAAATTACAGGGATATCGAACGGGACATATATATAAACAAGCTGGACTTCGGACGAAGAGTCTCACTTCGCCCAGTAAAACCGGACAAAGTGATATTGCTATACCACCTAGTGCTTCTTCTATGGGATCTGTATGTCTCTTCTCTTCTTTTATTAAGAGGCTTTTGTCTTTTAAGAGGTTGAAATGTCATGAAATTCTTGACTTTGGTTTTTTTTATGAAATTATAAAATATTGTGATTATATAATAACTGGAAAAATTCATTATTCACAGACTCATGGACTATGTTATCCATAGACTATTCGTCAAAAGTCTATGCTTGATTCGTGAATATAAGTATAAGTGATTTGAAAACAATTTTCAGGTTGACGAATCTGATTATGAATCTGTCACGGCTCATAAAATAGCGTTGTTACGTAAGGAACAAGAAAAAGCTCGATGGTTAAATTCTCCTAATGCTTATCAAAGAATTGAAATCCTTGAGACTGGCACTGATAATCCAAAAAAGATAACTAAGGTCTTTCAAAATTAAATTTTTGCGTAATCAAATTCTTTTTCACTTGTTTTCATCTTTGTTTACTTTTTTTTCAGTGGATTCAAGATGTTAATTCACCTCAGCATAATGGTACACCTGTAAAAATTTCTTCGCCTCATCAGTTCAGTCCTTTCTCTATTAATCCTAAAGAATTTAAAGAAAAGCAGAAAGCAATTAAAGAAACTCGTCTACTTGGTGCAACATCCGCCGGTCCACAGTCACAAATTCTTGATGGTGTTACTTATGAAGAAATCGTACAGATGAGAGCTGTATGTTGTCTCTCTCTGTTATATTTTATTGTATTTGTTCTTATAGATGAAATGGAATTAAAGGATAAACATGGTGAAATTAATATTAAAATTATTGAGTAATTTTCAGGATAATTCAGCAATTAACCAAACGGATCGAATCGTTATGATTGGTACTGCCAGTAAAGGTATTATTGAACGACAACATCAGCATAATGCACAGGTTTATCCTTTTTTAAATTAATCATTTTACATGCTTTTCAATTAGAAGTTTACTCTCCCCTTTTCCTTTTTCTCCTTTAGCTTTCTCGCTTATTCGTTCGTCTTTTTCCTATCGTCTTTCCATTTTCTTGCCAGTAATCTATTATGTTCAATTCTATTCATTCCCCACTTATTTTTTTTTTAGAGTCATTCAATTTCTTCATCAATAACTGAGTCTGAGAAAGTCCACAGAAAAGTGTAGCATTTTAAATTATTATAAGTCGTTCAAATTTTTTTTTTCAATTTTTGATAGTATTCAATTATTAATTTTTATTCCCTCTGCTGAAAGTAGCACTAAATTTCATAAATGTTGTACGTTATAAGTCATAGTAGGTCTCTTGAGGGAGGCATTGAGACACAATTGTTATGATGACCGAAGATCCCATAGATCTTATTATAGAATAAAAAATGGATAATGGCAGTAAATTTTCTAAAGATTAATTGGTTTTCGGTCTTAAAAGAAATATTTTTTTTGACAAAAACCAACATTTTTTCATTTTTGCACATTATATATATGTGCTATGTGCTATATGATTAAGCATAATCTCCATTATAGAATATCATTTGATCAAATGGCACGCTAGTTCCAGGTGTCCCAATGTTCATCTATTCTGGCTTGAATGTCCTCTTATTTAATAATTGATGGTATTAGTATAAGTTCATCACACATAACTTTACCACTTCTTCTGATAGCTCTCGCCATTATTGATTCCTAGCTCTTATGGTTACAGACAGCATTTCCAAGCAGTTCGATCAAATGCCATCTCTGACAGTAATACAAGCTATTCCTTAATTTTTATTGGCCCTCTGGCCCTCACGCTTTTGGTCACCCATCGTAGGGTTTAGCAAATAAATATACGTCAACTCTGTGGCGGCGAAGAACGTGCCCTAATCATCGATGCTATGTGATGCTATTATTAATGCATTGGTATTTGAGCGAAAGTAGATGCAATCATATGAGATTTTATTCGCCCAGTGAGCCCGTAAAATATACCTTAGACATGAGTGATCAAAGACAACTTCTTAATATCCTCTACTCTCATATCTTGCAAGATCGAGCGAATTGCAGCTATGTAGATGCGGACTTTCCTTTATATAGTGATTTCGGAACGGTTGCATAATGATTTCGCCAATCAGAACTGGGTTGTAATTTCATCTTCCGCTTGGTCGCTTGGAATTAAGGAGATATCCGAGATATTTAAAATCTGGCACTTCCTCAACCGGAGATGAATTGATGAAAATAGGTTATTCTATCAGTTTCTGGTAAATTCCTTCCAGAGTGCTGCTCTGTCATTTAAATCAAAAGGCGGTAGGCATTTGATGTTCTAACACCTTTCTTAATGTCAGCATGAATCTTTTCCTGAATCCAACTTAGTTTGGGCGCATCTTGTTCTCTCGTGCTGCTATAAATTTATTTAGTGGAAATGAATGAAAATGAAAATTTTTTTGATATATAGGTAGATAATTGTCGCAATATGTCTTGTCAACCTTTTCTTTTTCTTGAAAATTGGGAGCAGAATTTGTCTTCGATCATCTGGTATTATTTTCTTTTTTCCATAGCAAAGAATACATTTGTATTATGAAGAACGGTGGGTAACATATAAAGATTTCAGCTCGGAGACCATCTCCGGGAGTTTGTTGGTTTTAAACTTCTGGATGACAGATATTATTTCCTGTTCTGCTGGCGGCTTACAAAACATATGGCTCGCCGAGCGATTCAGATATGTCCAGGATAACAGATGGTACGTCATGGTTGAGTTTAGGCTCAAAAAGTTCACCTTATAATGTGATCTTTAATAGCCTTAACAGACACATTCATCCCGTATCATTTCATTCACCGTTTCCCGATTTATACTTGCTTTATGAAGAAGGTTGAATAGTTTTCTACGTTTGCTTAATCGAGCAGATTTCCCTATTTTCAAGCCATTTACGATTTAACATTATGATTTCTGTCAGACTATTGCTATCATTGTTTTTTTTTGAAGCATCCAATACTCAGGATGTTCTGACATTCATGCTTTGGAAGCTTTGGATAGTTGCTTCGGATAGTTGCATTCAATATTTCTTAATGGCGTGGAAGTGGTTGACTTTCGGAGACGGAGAGAGATGCATTTTACTACTTATTGCTTTAACGAAGAGTGGATCGATAAAATCCCTTGCTGTGATTATTTTTCGTGTCTTTGAAAACGAAGGAAAGTTTTCATGTTATTTCCGATATTCAGTGAAATGGCGATAGGGAAGTCTGCTCGATTAGGCAACAGTAGAAAACTATTCAACTTTCTTCATAAAGCAAGTGTAAATTATATCAAGCGCAAATTTTAATGTAATATTCTGGTATCGTCTGGAAAATCTTCAAATCGCGATATCATCACATTCTATAGAATGAATTTTAATTTTTTCTTGGTTAATCTTCTTTGTTAATATATGACAATATACTGTTATAATAACCAATCTGCAGTCTAAATTATTTGTTATTTTGTTATTAGATTCTAATGATGATTCTAATGGCTCTTAATACTTTTCAACTTTTGAGCGCAGTGGAATTTCCATTGAATTTGTTGATTATAAATGCAAAAAAGAACTTAGTTGGCAAAGAACTTTCATCGGAAAACCGAAAATTTTCGCTAAATGTTTCTGATACTTTTTGTGAATTATTTTTCGTAAAAAAAAAAAAAAAACAAATAAACTTTTGGTATGTAAATTTTATAAATGGACTTTTGGTTTTGGTTGAGCGCAAAGATTTCCACCCCTCACTTATGTCAAGTGAGATTGTTGAATACAGCGAAGAATCGCAAGTGGAACAATAAATAATAGATTCCCCTAGAAGAAAAAGATTTTAGAATTATGGAGCTATTGCAACTCAATTTGTTGCAACTTGTTTGCAGGTTTATCGTCAACTCTATGCTCCCAATCCTTTCGCAAGTGAAACTGATGAAGATATACAAAAATATATGAAAGAAGTGGAATCCAAAACTCCACGACCTGGATCAGTTTCAGATAATACTACAAATGGGCGAACTGCTGCATCAAGTCCACCACCTTTCGAAACAGATAGTCCTTCTGCTGGTCTGTTTTATTTTTAAATAATCCGTTTATTCTTAAATCTGCTTATTTTTTCCTTGCTTGTTTATTGTTTCATGTATTGAGAATTTGTGAGGTGAAGGTGATAGTATCTGTATTTTTTCTTTTAGTTATACTTTTGTTTTTCAGTATTAGTGCCACATACTTTTTATACTTAATAATTTTTCATATGATTTGGCTTTAGGGATTCGAATCGTAAAAAATTCATTCGTATTAACGAGTAATTTCTTTGCTTGCTCTAATTTTATTGTTAATATTTTTTAATTTAATTTAATATAATTTAATCGTTTAATCATTAAAAATTCAAGAGACCATATCGCTTATGCAAGCTGCAAGACAACATCGGTCAAGGATGATAACGGCAGGTGCTTCTTCAATTGATGAGGAAACTGCTCTAAACACCATTCCAGATATGGATAATTCGCATAGTAATTATATCTATATTTTTGTCTATATCTTATTCAGTATTCGGCTCCTTTATTGTTTTTATTTTCTTTAATTTTTTTATGATTTTCTTTTAGAATAAAATTATTCTGCTATTATATAATAATTCTAAACTGTTCCAGTTGCGAAACTAATTTTTTCATATTTTTCGTAGTGATATAGAATAGGTAATGAAATTATTTTTGGTGAACGAGATTTGGTGCTATGCATTGATATTGTATTGTGGTATTTGTAGTTGGTCGGTTAACACTCGAGACGACATTTGATGAATCGGATATGCCTCAAAGCAGAATTGTTTGCAGTACACCAGTTGCTTCAATACATTCTGATCGTCAGTAGTTATTTATATGTAAATAATATGGAATAGCATGCTATTAATTTGTTCAGTTTTTTCCGTTTTTCGCTTATAGTTATATTCACATTATCCTTTTTTTTAGAAACAATAATATAATTACAATAGTTTATTTTATAATATACAATAATAATATTTTACAATAATAATATGTAACAATAATATTTTTTAAAAAATAATATAATTACAACAGAATAGCCGCTGCTTGTTATGCAAATTATTTTAAAACTTTTTTCTAAGCAAATTTTTTGGGAAAAACGAATGTGTTGTTGGTTTTTTTGATTTTTGAAGTGATGAAAAATCTATTTTGTTGTTAGGTGTGGGTGAAAAAATCAGCATTCCAAATCGCACGCATTAATCAAGCTTGTTTTTTATTTTGTCGTAATTCTGAAAATTCACATGGTTTTTTTGCGATTATCATTTAAATATATATATTTTTTTTTTATGTTCAGGTAGTAAGATTTATAAAAATGACCTACAGTTTACATCAATTTCGACGTCCTATTCGGAAAATTTTACGAATATAAGTAATAGTATGCTTTGTTTCCTCAAGTTTTTTTTAAAAATTCTGCTTTCTTTATTTCTCCACATTAGATTTCAGTTAATCTGATTATTTAAGTTCAAGTTCTTTTATTTTGCAAAACATTGGCTAACCAATGAAAAAAAAAAACCGCAATTATTCTTAATGAAATACGCATGATTCTATTTTTGTTAACCATATGCTTAATTTAGTTGTCCGATTTTTTATTAGATTAATGCAAGACTTTAAATTCAGGTAAGTTTCAGTAATCATATGAAATAATAAATTTTCCTTTAATTTTTGAAATCTTTTTTTTAGTTAATGTAAGTGGTAGATATTATTTAGAGATAATAAGAATATATTCAGGTAATGATCTAACTGCCCACAGTTCAGAACATTTTGCATCTGAAGATGAGGTAAAAGCTTTTCGAAATTTTTCAACCATCTTTTAGAGCAATGTGGCTAATATGCTTGTTGTCGGCTTCAGAAATTTTATTCTAAATTTTCGCTTTATGGCTAGAATATCTTTTTATATATAATAATGTATTATTGAAAGTTTTAATGGATGCTTAAGTCTTAAATCTTGCGAATACTATAGTGATTTTAACTAATTTTGATTTTGGACGGAATTTTGCTTTTTGTTCCCACTTCTAATTATCCAGATTAACGGTCTTGCTTTTTGGTATGATCTATAAATTGTCGGAATTTGAGGACAGGTGCATCGTAAAATTAAAATTCTTCTGGGGAATATCATTTAAAGTAGTTTGTTTTATTATTTTTATTTGCAGACAAACGTATCAAAAGATGGCAAAAAGAAGAAAAAAGGATTTTTTTCATTTGGAAAAAAGAAAAAATAATGTTAGCAGAATATATTTAAAGTTTTCTTTTCTGATTTTTATATTTTTTGTTTTTTATTCAGCCAAATTTTTTAGTTTCTGTTTAAACACACTTTGCTTTATTCTATTAATATATTTATTTGTACTTTTCATTTCAACAAAAGCTTTTGCTTATTTTTCAAATTTTGCACCATTTTTATTTCAATCAGTGATCAGTAATTAGATCAGTGATCGAAGTTTGCTATTAACTTATTTTATTTGGATAATAAAAGATATAAAATATGGTGAAATTAAATATTACATGTTATTCCAAAAAAGCTGATCGATATTTCTATGTTGCTTTATTATTTTTGGTTATAATTTTTTGCAGAAAATTTTTGTGGCATCAAGATTTGACAAAAATTTGTGGTGAAAATATTCCAGCAATTTTTCGATTTATGTGCATGTGTAATTTTAGTTCAAATTCATTTAATAACTTTAAAATTCATAATTTATTTGATTAATTCCATTATATTCGCTAAATTTCAGGTATGTGCGGTGGTAGTTGGTCAACTGCTGTTTGACTAATATGCCGTTCTTTAATCGTTAGATAATGAAGATGAAGAAGAAAATGAAGAATATTATAACTGCAAAAATGGGACAATTCTCTTATCTTCGCATACACTCCAAGCTTTTAACTCCATTATTGCTAATTTCGTTCATAATTTTTTAAATAATTTATATTTTTCTGTTGTGTACTTTGCTTTCATTCTTGTGTTCATTGTTTAGAAATTAGAATAAATTAAAAATACGATTGGATAGTAATCCAATTGTATAATAAAGATTAATAATAATCGATTTAAGTATTAGAAATTTTTATTGTTTAATTTTAATGTTTTTCATCATTTGAAATTTTTGGTATATTAAGGCGATCATTCGACAGTAATTTTGCATCTTTTATTGTTATTACTTAGTTTAGTGCGAAAAAAGAAAGGAAATTGTGGTCTTAAATCGACAAAAATTTAATATTTATTGGATGAATTCCCGCGAAATTTTATTCGAAAAACTTGGTGGTATGTATGAATTTGACGGGCTTTTCAGCTAGATTTTTTAGATTTAATGCTTTATGTGGCCATAAATTATGAAAATTTTACCTTAAAACTTGCGTATGAGATAGGTAAAATTGTTTCAGAAAAAAATATGAATAAAAATATGAAGCAACTGTTTCTCTTTCCCTGTCATTTGTCTCTTAAAGTCAATGAAATAGATATTTTTATAATAGAATCCAGCTGTTCCGGGATTTCTTTTTCTTTCAATTTGATCATGAAAAAAATATTTTCTATATAAAATATAAAATACAGCGGTTTCTTGCAAAGAAATTTTCACCAGTAATGTTTTCGCTTAAATTTAGGCCAAGTTATGCGAGAAAATATCGTTGTTCTAAAAATAAGCCGGGAAAAAAGTTGTCAGAAAATTCTAAGGATGATTTGACGTATTTTCTGATCGTTCAGATTTTTCCGCATCCTCGGTGATTTATTTCTCCAGTAATATTTATTGTTGCGCTAATATTGTTTTTGCTTCATCTTTATGAGATTTTTGTATGAAAAATGGCTTTTTTTCCGATTCGGTATTCGACGATCAGAAAACAATATTAAAGTGAAATCGTTAAGTACTCTTGTAGTGAAGTGGTCGTCCTGATCAATTGCTTTTCAAAAATATTACAGAAGATTAGAAGCTGGGCGAGAAAATTATAGGTAATCTCATTAACTAATCTCGAAAGGTTGGTTAACTCAGGTTAGAAAGATTGAATATTTGCGACTATAAGAGTATTTAAAAATTATTTTTGCTGAATTTTTTTCAATGGAAATTCAAGGTTTAAAATTTGAAATTTAACGTGAATGATAATAGTTTTATAATGCTGCTGTGTATGAGTTAAATGATTTGCCGCTGATATTTATTAAAATCTAGAATTTTATTTTAAATTAGCTTTCAAGGCTTTCCACCTTATCACTTATCAAATTATTCCTATTTATTTAGAAAAGAAAAGTAAAATTATTTGGTAAGAAATATTTGGGTTTAAATTGCCCATTTTTTTCGATAAAACTAATGCAGTTCGATAATTAAGCAAAAAAATTTATCTAAATTTGAAAATTTAAATGCGCAAATCGGTTTTGGAATAGGAAACTTGCTTCTCATATTCCAATTAGCTGCTTATTTTTATCATTTATCGTTTATAAAAAATTTTTATAAAATTTTTAGCACTTCGTATTTTTTGTGCTATTAAAATTTTATATTTGTGCTATTAAAAATTTTTGTGCTATTAAAAAATTATAAAATTTTAATTTATCTAAGTAAAAATTTGTGTGTTTATGCGGTTGCATTATTTTGCTATGGCATATTGGTAATGCCTCGAACTCTCTTAGTTCCTTCCTTAAACTCCTCTTTTGAATCTACTGAAACATTTTATCATCTTAATAGCCTCGAAACCCTGTTGTCCTCCATTGAGCCTTTTCCATTCTCTCTGTAAATACATTCCACAGCGGTTAATCCTAAACAGAAATCTTAGCCTTACGATTTTAGTCCTTTATGACCACCCAAATCCCTTTTATCTCAAAGCACCCGTTTTGTTCTATAAATTCTCAATGAATAGGCGAGGAACGCTTAAGCGTAAATATAAGGAAGGAGATGGAGAAGGAGAAGAGATATTAAGGGGAAATAATTGATTTGGTTGGTAATAGAGTTTGAATAAGGGATGGTCGAATGTTATCGACTAGCATCATGGTCAAATGCTGTATTCATCTCTCTTGACTTAGGTAATTTTTTTTATTAAAACTGTCGTGGGCGATGCGAGGAATGCCTTCTATCCTCAAATGACTCTGGCGAAGAGGTCTTACATGTAATAACCAGTAGAGCCACGTGATTTGAAAGAATATTTCAAATGGACATTGAAGGAAAATACGAGTTTCTAGATATTGACATATTCGGAAATGTGGCGACAATTCTGCTCATTTCTGGAATGGGTCCTTTCATTAAATGAAATAAAAAAAAAAATGAGAAAAGGCATTCTTTATGTTCAACCTTTTGAGAAAACGGCGAAAATTTGGCGACAGACAGTTGCACTTTTCGTATACATTAAATTTGCAAATAAGCCCTGTTCTGTTCATTTACCGAGCATTACACTGTGCTTGTGACGACATCCAACTTTACGCGGTTTGCGGCTCAAACTAGCTATCTTGACCTTCACCGCTGTTTTCTGCCGGTTCCACCTACTACTGGCGACAACCCTTTCGGCCTTTGGTCCAGGGACTTTACCTCACAGTATCTTTCAGTCACCTTGGACTGGTAAATGCAAAGGAACTAAAACCTCGAAGCAATTTATCACTATCAATGCAATTTTCATCAAATATATTTATAAATAACCAACCATTTAGGCGATTCGAAAAATTAGAAAATAACGAATTTTCGTTCGAATAGAGCGATGGTCGTCCTCGCATCTACTATCCTTTGAAATTTTGGTTTGTTTCATCGGGAATTAAATTTCCTCCAAATCATCGAATTGGATTCCTAGCATACGGCGATATCTGATCGAGTGACCGGCTGATTTATTCCTATTAGTGCTAGGATCCAAATTTTGGTACGCGAGACGATTAGATTGATCAGCATTATTCTTTAAAGGAAATTTTCGATTAATATCAGTCTGACCTTGTTTTTTCCCAAATAATGGATAATATTGGAATGAATTTCAGAAATAATGACTAATAATATTCCATTGGAAGGTCGTATCCGTTTGCCTAACCGAATCAACGATTGTATTCACGATTGTTCATTCATTTCTTCGAATATCGTCAATTCGCATCGAGGAAATGATGTTAGTTTTTATTTATTTAGAAATATTTTTGTTCTTTTTCGTATTACTGAAATCAACAATTAAACTGTAGTGAATTAAATTATGCAAACTAATTTAATAAAGCGAAAACATGGAAATCAAGTAAATGAATGAAAAAATGAATAAATGAATGAATGACCTTTGTGAATGAAAAAATGAATATGAGATGAAATTAAACTAACATTAGATTAAAATCAAAATTCGAAGTTCTTTGGCCTTTTCTTAAAAATTGCAGAATTTAGGATAGTCGAGATGAAATAGTCGCTTAAACATTTCGATTTGATTAAATTTGAATTTTCGTCGGTTATCCTTAGCCGAGTCTCACATTCCCTCTCATCAGCTATAGTTTCAATTTTCACTTCAGCCATGGAAAAAATTTGGTATGATAGGTGAAGAAAGTGGTTAGCGCTAACCATTTTTGATTAGACGTGCTACACTAGTAGGATGCCAAATAAGACCATTTTACCATCGAGGTCAAAAAGTTTAGGTGTGTTAAATCCCCAAATTTTTCAATATTTATTGCCAAAGGCCTAGGCTGAACCATGGTACTAATGATAACTTAAAAAGGAAATATTTATTCGTAGGATACAGCTTTGTGAACGAATTGTTTGTAAAAGGATGCTAATACGGAAAATATGCATATTTATGTTTATGGTATTTAGCACAGCTATATTCGAATAATTTATTCCAGTAGTTTACAGTTCAAAAAGAGAAGAAAACTATGTAAGGTGATATCTAAGATTTTAGTTTCAGTCCATTTGACTTCGTTGCAGTGCTTGTTGTAAAATTATTTTTTGCGAAGGCGAAAATATTTAGATAACCACTCGAATGTTTTTATTTGATACGACTGATGAAAGATAATTTTGATAAATTTGAGTTTTAAGTAGTTTATTCTTTAAAATTATTTATTTTTTTCATTCTAAACGTTTGTCTCTTTGCAAAGAAAATAATGGAATTTTGTATTTTATTGAGAATTTTCCATTTTTGAGTATTCCCCTCTTTGAAAATTGGAAATCTCCTTCAGCAATTAAATCAATTTTGTTTTTTGCTAAAATTTCATTTTTCAACTAATAAAATTCAAAAAAGGTTTTTCTCTTCCAATAAATAAATATTTTCTTTGAGATGAGAAAAAGAATTTCAGCTTATGAAATCGTCAATAAAGAATTATGTTAATTTAGAAGCAACGATCGATCAGTCTTTTAAAGTAATTCTTTTATTTTGAAGGGGAAATTTTGGTTTTCGCAAAATAGCAAATGAAATTTTTTTATAAAGTAATTACTGAATACGAACGTTAAACAGTTTGAAAAAATAACTAAATGACGAAAAGGAGCGATAAATTTCAAAAATTTTGGTAAATTTAAATGTCTAAAAATTCTGCGCGGTAAATTCTGTGAATGATTTACCGGCCAACCAGTCAAAAGTAAAAATGAATTGCATGATATTATTAAAATAAATTGTAATAAGCCTTGAGCTAAACCTTGAACGTAATCATAATTAGAGGAAGGTTATTAATTTCATTTCTCTTCAAATAACTTTTCATTTTTCATTTTAGTTTTTAGTATTTGATACTTTAAGAAATTTTCATATTTAGAGTCTACAAAAAATTGACGAAATTATTGGTTCATTGGAGAAAGGGTAAGTTTTAATGTTTATTTTAAGTTTATTTTATGTTTAAATTTTTATTTTATGTTATAAATGAGTTCAAATAAGTTTTTTTTGAAGTTTTTAAAGATTTTGCGATATGTTTGGAGAGAGATGAAATGCATATGAATTTTTTTCGTAACTATTCGATACTAAAACATGGCTAAATTTAAATGCTTGAATATTAGCTTAGGTGCGAAAATTTTCGATATTTGCATAAGGAAATTTTAATACAATGTTTGATAGTTTTAAGAAACTGGTTTAGAATTTTCATTTGAAATACTTTTTATTTTATGTTAATAAATATGCTGAAAATTCAATGCTGGAAAAATTCCAAAGAGATGTTTCATGTGGTGAATTTTTTGTTAGAATTCGAGAAATAGAAAAAAATAAATGACTAAATTAAATCAAAGTTAAGGTAAGGTTAATTTAGAAATAAAGTATGAAATTCTGTATGTAAATAATCAGTTGATAATATTTTAGGAGTCCTCTTCTCGAAAATAGGTTAGTTTCTTTTTTGTTTTTTTTTACTTGTTGAAATTATCGCGAAATAAAGAGGAAAAATCTATGAAAATGTTTTTTTAAATTCTTTCACTAATTCTTTTTTTCTTTCTACGAAGGACATCTGAAGATTTATTTTATTATTTTATTATATGAGTTTCTACTGAGAATTTTTTTACGAACACAATTTATGCAAGAATTTATGCAAGTTTTTAAAAAAATTTGTGAATAATTTTTACGGTCAAATAAATGTTTTATTTATTTTATATTCTTATTTTTTCCTTTTTTTTAAAGTATTTTTTAGCTTTATTTTTCTTTCCCTTCTTATAATGATTATATTTGTTAGCCTATTGTTTGCATTTGAACTTAGAATTTATCATTTTTTCTTTGTCAAGATTATTCCTTGGATTGCTTAGTAACGTAAGGTTCATTTAAAGTTTTGCAACAAGTTGTCCATAAGTAAGAGAGTGTCCTCAAATAAATGGTCAAGAAGCGGTATGATTGAGTGGTATATTGCTTCCATTTTATATTCATATCCTGTCAGTGTGGTCATTAAACTTTGATGAAATTAAATCTTATTATTTAAAGTAAAACCTAGGTAGTGCTGGCGATATAGCTGTACTTTTATCGTCAAATAACCCTCTAGCGGAAATGTCTAATATAAATACAAATCGGGAGCAGCGAATTGATGCTAGGAGGAAATTGAAGAAATCACCGCAGTCATTGCTTTTCTGTATTCATTCCTTTCGTCTTTACTCATTTAATTAAGAAGTTAACTAAGAGATTTCTTGTGAAGAACTTGCTGTGCTCAAGTAAATTGGCGATAAAAGTGGATCTTTAGCAGCGCTCTGACTTTTAATGGCAAATTTACTCTTAAATTTACTCGGAAGTAGTGTTCTAGCATCTTAAAAACACGACAATCTGAATCAGATAGTTATCCACATCCATTTAATTACCAATTTTGAGTATATTTTTTATAATTTGTTCGTACGAAAATGAAATTTATTGGTAAATTAATGCTTTCTTCGCAACTTTAAAAAGGACTTCCCTTAAAAAGCTTTTTGATAAAAAGGGAGAAAATATTTGTTACAATTTTTTTAAGAAAATTGTTGTGAATTTTTTTAACTTCCGGTCTTATTAACTTGTTTTCTGCGTCCTTTTTTTGTTTTCATTTTATCGCAGATTTAATTTCCTTTTAATTAATTTTGTTAATTATTATTATCGAAGAAGAAAAAGAAGTAATACAAATAATATTTATGTATTTATGTTGATTTTGTTTTGACCGAACCGGTTCTTAATATTTATTTTAAAATCTAAAAAATCGAATTCATCGAGTTTTATATAATTATAAATATAAAAAATGATTAATTATTTAAATTTGGAATTCTTTATTAAATTTGAATTTTTATTAAAATTTTGATTAAATATAAATTACCAATTGGAAAGAATTTTTTCAAACCTGCAAAATTCGTTTACCAGCACTTTGACTGATTAGAAGAAAAAAGTGAAAAAATGGTTGAATGTTTGGATGGAGCATGTTGGATGAATAAAAGAATAAGCCATCTGATTCTTTATTCACTTATTTATAAGAACCAAGCAAAGCATATATTGGTTCAGACAAACAAAGTGGGTAAAAAAATCTTTTTTTTTCTTTAAGAACTTTCATCATTACTGGTTAAACTTATTCTGCTGGTTTATCGAAGTGGACAAATGTGCCAGGAAATCCCTTGGCGATAGAAATACAGGTGAGTCATCATCATCACCCAAGGGCAAAAAAATACAGAAAAAAATACAAAAAAATGCGAAATAAATTATAGAATTTATCAAAGTTGCATTAAAAATGTTATCAATATCAATATTAGTGGTGGGTCGTGGATAAAATTTCAAATAATATAATACTGATAATGATTATTGATTATTACTGATTAATGACACTATAAAGTTTCTTTCTGAACTAGAGATGGATGACGCAAAGATAACAGCATTAGGTAGTATTTCTCAATATTTCTAATAGAGAAGTTATGAGACAATACATTGGTTCTAAATATTGGCTTAAGTCACCCATTTGAACCATTCATCCTCGACAGTAGTGAAATTCAAGCGGGAATCGTTATCATTAGCATATATTCAAATTTTCAATTATTAAATGACCGAACAAACTGTTGTGATTAAACATCAGATTTTGTTTTATTCTGGTTTCTCTAATATAGATTGCATAATTTCAACTTGGATTTATAAATTATCGAAAGGTTAGGATCTATAAAGCATAAGGAATATTTACGCAAACTCTAATTGATAAATTTTATAAAGTATGATATTTAGGTAAGGAACAAACTGCACTTTGAATATTCTAAATGTGAAGAATTGTTTAATTACTCGAGTTGATGCAAAGTTAACAATAAAATTAGATGGAAGGTCGGAGCATTTAGCACTAATATGCAAAATTTTCATCGGATGACTAAATCTGCCTTTGCTGAAGCCGCCACTTGACTATTTCTGATAAGCATTCATATTCTCTGATCTGTCATGCGAAAAATAAATTTCACAATCATCGACGTATAAAAAATTTTTGGAAACGACTTTAAGAACGCCATTAAAAATAACAGAGAGCTACCTTGAGGCACAACAGATTTAACCAAGGCAAAACCAAATACTACTTCATTAATATGAGCAGTCTGGTAACTATTAGTAACTAAAGAATCTAATATCCGATAAATAGCCGGTAGTACCGTTTATTAATTATTTGAAGTAACTTGTTGTATGAGGTAGCATGAAAAGCTTTAGCTTTAAACTTAAATAGACTAAAATGAATAAATAAATAAAATAAAATAAATACCACTAGAACACGTGGCCACATCAGAAAACAGGCATTCAAAGGAGTTGGATATTCGATATCAGCTAGATATACGACTTTTTTCTGAGAAAACTCTTGAAAATCGATATCATTTTATTTTCCTCAAGGTAGTTGTGTAAGTTGTATAAAGTATTGCAAGGTACCAGTCTCTCTGGCACTCTCCAACCAATGCGAGTGGTACCAATCGGTAATTTGAAGACTTCTGCCTATCAGAGATAAAGCTAGAAGGATTGCGCATTTTTTATGAATCTTTGGGGTGTGATCGGAGTTTTAATGATTGTTTTAGGCACGTTAAAATTATTGTATAAATATTTAATAACGAAATATTAATGGCATTCATAGATGATAACGAAAAGGAATGATAATCCATTTTTATAATTCATTACTTATAGATGCAATAGAAATTTTATTATCATCCAAGCAAAGATTGGCAAAATAGTTATTGAAAAGATTTGCAGTGTCCATATCATCAGTTTTCAGAGCGTGTTGGACTCGAAAATTTGTTCTTAATACAGCTCCGGAATAAAGCATAATTAGCTCATTATCGCGTCTTCTTCGGTTATGAAATATTCATCTAGAGCTGTATGAGAAACCTTTAGAGAGAAATCTTTATATGTGGAGAAACCATTGGAAGAGTTGGTTGTTTTCTTTCTTATTATAGGAACTTTCTGCTTTTTTCTTCGAGAATTTTAAAAAAACCTTTTTTTGACTAGGGGAATAAACTGGACTCGATGAGGTTTAATAAAATATAAATAGAGATACCTAATTTTTGGGTAATTTTGGCCCATGGATTCTACAAAAGGAAACAAAAAATCGCAACCAGCTTTAGCAATGTGCGAATTAGTGGTATTGCAGTCAAAGCTGTGAAAATATCTAATACATACGATTGGGTGGACGAATTACACTCTCTTTCAACTTTATATTATATTAATAATGTAATCTCTGCTAGAAAACCATTTTAAGAAAGACTTAAAGACAAAAAGGACTCAATAAAAGAAGTCTAAAAAGACGTCAAAACGACTATATTATTATTGTTAAATATTATTAAATCTTGCTGAAGCATAGTGCGCTTTTTTTTTTTTTTTTAAAGATTCCTCACCATTACCGGTTAAACTCGCTCCGTTGGCTTGTCGCACTGGATAAATACGCCAGAGAGTCTCTTAGTGATAGAAATACACGTGAGTCGCCAGCACTACCCTGATTTTTATACAGGTTTACTCCTGCGGGAATCGAACCTCAGTATCGGCGCTCCCAATTCAGCAACAACCCACTGAGCCTTTCTTTCCCCATGGTGTTCTAATCAAATATGGAGCAAATATGAACAAAAGGCCTTTCTTGGATTTACTATTCTTAAATATACAATTATTCACCAAATTTATATTAGGGAAATCACCAACAATGATAAAATCTATCCATATTAAATAATTTTTGTTCTTTTATAAACTAGAAGTAAACATCATTAAAAATGAAATTGAAATTGTGTTAGGGACCCACTGATAGTTCTATCCCCAAGTGAAGAAACCTTATCCTAATAATTCGGCCAGACAAGCTAGCCGAAATGGTGCGTGCTGTTAGAAGACTGCATTAAAAAGTACCAATAAGTACAGAGAAATGACTTCGAAAAAATTATATCTGTGTCGTTAAGGATAAAAATTGATGAAATTAATATAATTCAGTAAAATTCTTCGAGTATTGAATAAATTTATTTATTATGCATTCCACCCAAATAAATATTTGACTAAAGTTCCTTTATAAAATTTTATTGCATTGCTTTAAATTAAAATATTCACTTTATTAATTTTTAAAAAAACAATTTATTTTGTGTATTTAATTTCATGGACCTATACACTAGAAAATCTGTAATTGAAAAACTGATGAGTGATCTGTGAATGTAAAAATTTCCAAACTGACGGACAGCGAATTGAGTTTCATCAGAAACTGAGCGCGCTAGCCATTTATGTATTTATACGAATTTACTTTATTCAAAAGAAATATAAAAATTTTTAATTTTTATTAGCAATATTCAAGTCTTTTAATACATTTATTTATAAAAATTATTTTTCGAAAATATCTAAAAAACGGAGAAAAACGGAGAACGGAGAAATATAGTTGTTTTGAAGGGAAAAGGTATAGTAATTTAATTTGTATCCATCAAAACTTTAAATTTATTTAGATGAATGGTTTGTGATGAAAGGAAATGTATTATTTTCCATATATTTAGAGGAAAAGCAAAAATATTTCATTAATTAATAAAATTTAAGTGAGTTCGGTATAAAAAATAACAACGATGGTAAAATAATTAAATAAAATTGTCATTTGAAGATTTCGATTTTTCATTTTTTTCTCATTTTGAATTTTCAAATATTTATTAAATTATTCATTTTAAGGAAGAATTATTGTTTTGCCCATGCTAATGCTAATTCATGAAATTCTTCTGGTTTTGTCCTCATTATAGGATCAAATTCCAGTAATGAATTTACGATATTAATAAATTCTTGGTCTGGCATTTCTTCCGGCATTTCTGGTTTATCATAAGCATCATAATTTGAACACGCTGAATATAGAATTAATTTACATAAATATGCTTCATCGAATGGTACCTATAAATTTATTAATGTGATGAAAGCAAAAAAATCTAAGCGGCCATACTACTCCCTAAATATATTATATTTACATGTTAATAAAAACCCCTCTCTCATCTTTTTGGATGGATTATCCTCAGTACTAGGTCTTGCACCAGAGGCATGGGAAATTAAGAATTCTGCACAGTATCTTAGTTGTTCTTATTGTACTCTTCTGGACGAAAATCTCTGATGTTGTTTCTGTTGAAGCCTTTTCTAGTTTAAGGGTCATAATTCTAAGTGCTTCAATTATCATTTGGACTTTATATATATATATATATATATATATATAAGGTGCTGAAAAAAAAAACTAAAAGTGTGAAAAGTGAAAGCTAAAATAATCCCGTGGTAATAGGAGCACTAGGTGCTTTTTCTCTAAGCTAAAAAAATGCTTTCAAGTTAAAATTCCAGATTTTAGGTGCAATATCAAAGATTTCTGTCCAGAAAAGAGCATCCAAAATATTGTATGGAACCCCTTAAGCTCCAGACTATTGGTAGAAGACTCCTGGTTGGGGATGACCCATGCTACCCGTAGGAATTGAAAAAGGGATTTATTTTTTTATATAAGATGAATTAATTCATTCATGGAAATATAACTCTGTAAAGCATGAGGATTAACCGAAAGATTATTTGATAAAAAGCAACTTACATGTCCAGCAATGCATCTGTATAAGAGACAACCAATGCTCCACATATCAACTTGATGATTATAATCCGAATCTTTCAAAATATTTGCGGCGATTTCAGGTGCCATATATTCAGGCGTCCCGGCAATATTACAACACATGCCATTTTTTTCCTCATTTAATAATCGTGATATTCCAAAATCTGTGATTTTAGCGCTTTCAAAATTTTTATTGTTATCGTAGGTGATAAGAATATTTTGTGGTTTTATATCGCGATGAACGATTTGATTATTATATAATGCTAGATATCCTTGGCATATATTGTCCGTCAAGATCCTAGAATTATATTATCCAATAATATCATTATATCTTATTTAAGATTTTTTAAATGGACTTAATGGATTTCATTATGGATTTCCATTGAATGGAAAAAATTCTTTTGTATAAAACGCCTGAATATCTAAAATGTTCGAAACAAAAAATAAATATATTTTGTCGGGCAAAATTTTAAAAAACTAATCGTGCATAGTTTGTTTATTATTTCTGGTTTAGCTGGCTTTTCTACGAGATACTAAAGTGAAATTTCTTCGACAGAAAGTCACGTGAGGATAAAAAGTTGAGCAAATTATAGGTTTACCCTCAGAATATTTGAATGTTCAAGCAACTCGACGCTCTTGTCCGCAGGAAATTTATTAAGAAAGGATAAGTGATAATTAAATTCATTAAGAAAACGAAAAAGACCTCAAATTAAAGTCGTCTAAAATTTGTCGTTCGCAGTAAAGTTGTAGATGTTTTTCAAGATCAATTGAGCATAATTCCATAATTATATATAAATTGATATCACTAATATGTACATCGATAAATTTAACAAGGTAGCGACTGTTTATTGACTTCATTACTTTAATCTCGTTCGGTTTTACATCACTTTTTATTAATTTCTTTATAGCAACTTCTTTTCCCTTCGCTAAATCCAAACCGCGATATACATGACCATAACTACCGACACCGATGCAGTTCAGTAAATTATCGCTGAAATTCAAGTACTAAATTTCTAATGTATTGGAATATGGGAGAATTATATAGATTCTTCATGAGAAATTTTCTTCGATGAAAAATTTTTGCCTATGTAGTGGCCCACTTTAAGATTCTACGATCACATGCTCTATTCATCAAATTTGTTCGAAGATCAAAGAAAGATATTAAAAGCAGATAGCATTAAGCCATATTAGATTAATGAAAAAGTTGCAAAAAAAATTAGAAAATTAGAAAATCAACCGAGAAGGATAAATAGCCTTAAAGTTTTTCCTGCAACATCTACTACTTCTAGTTAGGGTCGTTTAGTTGGCTCATGTCAGGCCAGACATATTTTGCCAAGGAATCATCTGTCTACAGTACAGATGTGTCGCCAATACCACCTAGATTTTTGAAGGACAGATTTACCGGAAATAGAATCCCAGCAATTGCACTCTAAAATGAAAGCAACAACCCACTGAGCCATTCATATATCCTAATCTTAATATCAGCAATTAAATGTTAGTAAGTGTTGAGTATCATATATTTGGAATTATTCATAGCTGGGAAGCTGGGAGTTTCGGGCAGTTTTTGGCATTAGAATCCATTTTTTAATACAACATTCAACTTAAAAATGTTTTTTCTCTGAAAACTTTCAATTTAAGCTTGAAAATGTTTGGAAAAACGGGCGAACCTGTATTGATAAGCACCATCAAGAATTGATACAACTGTGTCGGAAAATAAATTTATATTCATAGCACTGTCAGTGTCGTTCATCGAATCATTAATATCTTCTTGCGGTATAAAATTTATATTTTTAATAATGGCAATATTACACATCAATTATCGCTTTATTCTAAAAATTTTCGAGGAAAACTCGCCACAACTATTCACCGAAATCCAAAAATCACCAAATTATTATTGTTTTTTTGGAATTTTATCCTCAAAAACTTCAAAAATCCAATGCTTTTCTATCGAAGGATTAATGGAATTTGCCAAAAAATTGCTAAATGTTAAATTTATTATAAAAATATCAAAGATTTAAATCAAAATAATTAAAAATTTTTATAAATCGTTTGGCTATTTATATACAAATATATATTTATCATTAATAAAATAAATTTGTTCACACAAAAAAACGGTTGGACCGGTGTTGAAGATTGCAAAATTATAATGTATTGGAAGATGCTTTCTCTTAAAAAGTTTTTGAATGGAAGCAAAAAAAGACGTCCTTTATATTTCTATCGATAATTAGCAATTCGAACAAGCACGATAAGTTTGATGAATTTTTTTCCTGTTGGTACCCACCTGGAGATTTCGGCTTTCACCTCTTCTTTTTTACTATTTATATTTGACAGAGATTAAACTATTTTAGACGAAATGACAAAAATTAAAAAAATTACAGTTGATAAGTTTCGAAGAAGATAAAATTCCCATCGAACAATAGTATTTATATTCCACTCGTTTCATTCCCAGTCGTGACCGCCCTTTCTCTTTCCTCTCTTTTCCTATTATCTCTCTCTCCCTCATTACATCCATTATTATTGCATTTTTATGTTTTAATTAATTTAATTAATAATAAATCAGAAAAAAAGCCTTAAAATTTAAAGAGAAATTTTTAGCAAACATAGCAAATCCGTAGAATAATAATAGCGGAAACGACCGTATCGACTGATTATTGGAAAAGGGGCCATTGACCCTTCGATTCAAAATTAAGGTATATCGACCTTGCGTTGATGCGATATGCAGAAATAGTTGAGTGCTAGCCGTTTGCTATGATTTTCGAGAACAAAGCAGTGGAATATAGGTGACCTCTTCATTCAGATTCCTTATTGTACAGTTTTTCGCCATCAGGATTGTTTTTTGACATTCTGTAAGCTGAATTAATTATCAGAGATCTATCTCTATATATATATATATATATATATATATAAAAGATCGTGAAAACAATTAAGGTTTTACTTTTCTAAATTTTGTAGAATTCTTTTTTATTAGTTTCCTATTGCTGTTAACGACTCATCTTTACTTTATACTTCTGTATCTGAGTTGTTTTTTGACGATATTATGAGAGGTGACAATAGCGCAGGCAGTCGAACCAAAAATGATAAAGTTTTTTCATTTCCTATCATTAACCTTCCATTGTATTGTTTTTCTGAGGGATGTAAATTGTCATATTTTGTAGATAACTGCCATCTTTAAGTTATGATAAGATAGTAAGCAAGAATCGTCATATTTCATAAAATAGGAAACAGATAAAATTTTTTATTTTTCTTTTCAATATTTTCCAATGAACTGGTTTTCAGAAATGTTATTTATAGATGAACAGTGATAAATTTAGAAAATTAAGGCAAAAAAATTTATTAGTTTGATCGATGAGCATCTCAAACAAACTACCGACCAACCAGGCAACCAATTCCCCACAGATTGTCAGCAACAACGAATTGGTCTGTCTTTGTGTATGTTGTGTTTCTCGCTGTTATTTCTACCTTTCTTTAGTTATGATTTTTAATTAATTTGCAGCAACTTCCGTTTCTAATTAATTAATTAAGCTTTAATGAAGAAGGTAGTGATGTTTTGCGCACTTAAACTTCTTCTCGCTTCCTTTACCACTTAATTAAATTTTTTCGTCATCTATTGCAATTTTGCGTCTTTATTGCAGCTAAATTTCATTATCAACCTAGCTTCCCCCCCCCCCCCCCCCCCCCCCCCCCCCCCCCCAATTCTCCTCCTCAATTCCCCAACTCTATTCTTTAGAAATTTTAAAATTTATGATTCCTAAATTACCTAAATTCCCATCCCATTTTTTCCTTATACTTTTATTGGATTTTTAAAATTTATTTTTTTCTTAATTTTTATTTATCTGCTCATATCACATCTAATTTTGCATTCCCCAAAGTAAATCGAACATCATTGGATGATATCATATATAAATATTTTTTATTTGGTAAAAAAACAATGTACTTATGATATCCTAGCGACAATACAATCGCTAAATGCTTCTAAATGTGATGTCAAAGGTCAGACTTAAATGTGGTTCTCAATAGAAATGTGCCACTTGAAGCAAATGTCAAAGGCTTCATCTATGGCTCGTTACGAAAATCGTATATTTGTAAAATTAATTCTCAAATCTTAAATAAAATTATTTCAGCACATTTTATTAGTACGCTTCTGAATATTGTTTAATGATATTTTCGATTGAAAGACAGTTGACAGTTCAAAAAAAAGTAAAATTCGGAACTATTATGTTTGCGGCTATTTTTAGAAAATTCGGTTTGATTTATTGCACATCTTTTATGAAAACTTGTTTGTAAAATGATAATTTTCTTTTTCATTATTTATTGGAACTGTTGTATTGTCTTTTAACCTGAAATTGAAAGGTTTTGAAAAGAAGTATTTGGTTTAAAGTCTTTGTAAGATTTAAAGGTTCCAATGTAGATGGGCGCAAAGTATGAATATATAGATTACCAGGTTTTTTCGAGGATTATTGCGATAATGTTAAGTGAAAAGCATTCATTTTTTTCATATTCTCTTGCTTCTTGCTAATTTATTGGTAAATTTTGGCTGAAGGATTATCGTATCATACAGGTGAAAATCTGTAACTAAACTTGGAACATTTTTTTCCATACTCAGAGAAATTATTTATACATTAAATTCTGCAAGTGTGGGCTGCTTTTTATTACTTTTTTGCGTTCAGTATCCATTTTCCAATATCCATTTATTTTAAAAATTTTATATTAGTTATACTAAATCTAAATAGCATGAAGTTGAATGGCTATGATTTTTAAAATATAATAGGAGTGGTAGTGTTTCAGTGTTATATTTATTTTACTCATATCAACTTCTTATTCTCCTTATCATATCATTTATATCATGTGCAAGAAAATTGTGATTCAGCTAATAATATTATTTAATTACCCTCTCAGTTTTTGATTATTATTTTTTGACTTAATTAATTTCTTCTTTTTATTATTATTAATATTCTTTTATTAAAATTTATTATCAAATTTATCAATGAATAAATTCATTTCTTTTTTTTGTAAATTGGTTTATTATGTAAAATTTATTTCCGTAGTTGGCAATGGACCATAGAATAAAATAAACTAGTTCTAGCGGAAAAAATAAGAAATACGGTACAAATGGCAACATTTGTTGGTACTTTGCCTGTGATGGCGAATCGTTCAAAAATCACGTGTCTTCATTGATATTTTACAATTACTGATCGACGAAGAAAAAAAAGCTGTAATAGTTAATAGTTGAAATGTGTGGAATAAATGAAAGGAAGAGCTTCATTCTGAAAAGAAAACATTAGCTGAGTATTATTATATTAGAGGAAGAAATTATTCATTCCTTTTTCCACTATAACAAGTCCATACGGTGTTACGTGACAACTCCTATGGTGGGCGATGAAGAACGTGTCTTAACCAGCGAAGGCGACGCTCTGTAATAGTATTGTTAATGCAGGCTGTATTTGGGTGAAGATGGATGCAATCATGTGAGATTTTGTGAGATTTTATCCACTTGGCACACCTGTAAAATCTCTTAGACATGAGTGGTCAAACCCGGTTAATTTCTTAATATGCTTCACTCTCATTAGCCATGTCTCACGGCCATATTGCGAGGTCTACAAAAAATTCGTTTCAAAAAATTTTATAGTTGTTTATTGTATGTTTAATGTAGCACTTACTAATAAATACTGAAGCAATTATGGAGAAACTTATATTTTATAAAATTCGCTTACTTTAGAATTGCCGAAAAATGATGTTGAAAATCACGAATCTTGTTAATAAATTTATTTTATTTAACGTTTATGTATCATTTTAAAAAATACAATTTTATTCAGGTTGAATATATTACAACATCCTGCAGTTGTAAGTCTGGAATTACAAGATTTGAACTGAAGTGTCTGATAATGAGTATAGGTTCGAGGGATCCTCAGTGCATATTTCATGAGATTTAGCTGGATATTTTCACTTGAGATATTGAGATATCTGATTGAAGAAAAATTTGGACTTCATTTAACTCTAAAATACCTCTAAATTAAATTTTAAATCAGTTCCATTTTTGCAACAAATGAACTCGTAAATCGAATCACAAATATGAAGTTCAAGAAACTTGTAATCATTGTGTTGTTCTCTGGTAACCATCCATGCTTCTTTCGCCGAGGAATTCCTTGGAGACAGAAGTGTAAGTGGTCCATCAGCACCATTTTACTGACCATTTTACTCCTGTTGGTAGCAACTTCTAATACCTAACGATCAAGATGTTTAACTTCAGTAAACACTCGACTGTCCTAACTCCCTAATTATATTGCATTTCGTTGAGTTTTTTTATCATTTTTTTGTCAACGACTTCTTACTTTTTTTATGTTTAAAATATTTTTCATAAGAAATAATCTGATCGGTAATTATTATTTGGATTTGTTGCTTTTGCAATTATTTTATTTTTGTTTTTTATCGATTTTAATGAAATTTTTTTCTCTTTTGAAAAATTTTTCTCTTTTGTAAAATTGCTTTTTTTGATTAATAATTCATAATCAAATGACCCTTTTTTCATTTCTATAAGTTCCCTAATAATGTTTATTGTTTTTGAAATTGGCTTAATAGTCATCTTCATTGATAAGTGGAAATAATAAATAATGATAACAATAATAATAGTAACAATAATGATAATAATTATGGTGATTTGTTTTAATCATAATTTATGTTTTATTCTAAACTCCATTAATCTAATATAATACAATATAATTTCCACTCGCT